AAATTTTCATCTGAATTTGTTAGCGGCACTCTTCATTTCGTCAAAGACCGATTTGCCAAAAGCTATGCTACCGAAAATTCCCTTAAAAAAGTTCAATAATATCGATGATATTTTACGCATGGATATTTTTTGGTGTTTCTGAGTGGCTTTATCCGGGCGTGGCAAAGACACTTTCACCATAAGAATTTATTACTTAGTATCACAGGAAGAATTGACTTCAAGTACAGAAGAAATATTTGGAACAATTTTTTTATAAAGGACTACAATAAAATGCATTTTTGAACTTTCCGATTAATGTTGCTCATGTTTTCAGGAAATTGACGCAATTTTCCGAATGAAGACACGAATGAAGACGCGACGTGTCTTGATGATTTTTTCATTGACAAAAAATGTGCAGAGAGAAAGTCTATGACAGCAATGTCTAAGCTGTTGCTTGTAATAAAATTATAAAGTCACTCTATATACATGTCACCAAACTGTTAACGAAGAACGAATAAACGGCATTTTAACAAGTATGAGGATAGAGTCAGTACAATCTCTAGACAAGTTGTTTGTATGGGGAAATGGTAGAATCTTCTATTGTCGAACTCTTATTGCAAATTCTTAAACATTCTCTGCATAATATTAGAGCTATGGAATCAAGATTTTCACTGGAAAGTGTTTTCCAGCATTTCAAACTATGAATCAAATCAGCTGATTTTCGCTTATGAGTTTGAAAAATGTCCCACAATGCAAATCGTTGATTTGGACGAAATACATTTCTCAAAAATGGAAAGTTTTGAAGCACCTGAATTTAAAAACAAAATTGAATTCCGATCATGTACAACTCTGTGAAGGATACAAAATACAGATATGCCAAAAGCAAACTTCAGATAATTGTTTTGACAAACTTCTTGCTACTTATTATATCAGTAAATGCGGAAAGTTAACATTTGTTGTTGTAATGGCTAACTATAAACGGTTCTTTAGAATCAATGCCTTACCTGTCTTTGAAAGATCGCTATCTAATCTGAAACGATTGAATGTACTTTGCAGCTTCTGAATCAGACACTAGAAGTTTTAATTACTGCAGGTGCCAAAGTTTGTTAATCTGATCTATTTGAGACTTAGAAACATTAATATTGGCGGAAACATTTTGAAGCTCTCTGGAATGAACGTTCTTATTGCGTAACACATCTGGCATTCATCATGTCAGCAAACGTGCTCCAATGTATTGTGAATGATTTAGAATCGTTAGATAACTCTGTTATTGTCATACTTGATGATTGTGAAATAACACCTGATGACGAGGAGCAACAGATTCGAGAATATGTAAAGACATGTGAACGTTTTGAGGTGATTAAAGAGGAGCGTCGTGCAAAGTACAAACAATTTCATTTCAGATCCTTGTCAAAACAAGAAAGTCTACCTCATGAGTAAAGTTTCTCAGGGAAGTGCTGTGAGTGCACGATATATAACACATTTTTATGTTATTGCCGAGACAAGTTTATGATAGCTCAAAGCATACCAAGATTATTGTATTTTATGTTGAATCTACAAAGAGGCTCGAATGCGTTTTTTTTAAAATATGTTTTAGTACTTCATTTCCGATTTTTTTTCAGTACTTTTGTACATACATATTTAGCAAGGTATATAGACAAACCATATCGACATTTTATGACATAGATCTCATTTCCACTGCCTTTGTTATATAACATATTGATAAAGATAAATAATATGTTGAAATGTACACGTGCATGCTTGTATCTACAATGGAAATGTGAACTAAATATTCCCGCGAAGAAACTTCTGAGTTTAATTTTGTACACGCCATTTCACAATAGAACATTTTTTATCAGCAATATATCATGCGATATCATTATTAGGGAATTTCACATAGAATATTAAAAAAACAATGTTAACACTGGAACAGGTCAAACATTTTTTTCTTATAAAAGCTGTCGACTGTGTAACATGAAATTGGCTACAATCACCCTTATAATGAAGTAGATGCTCGTTTCGTTATCGCCTTTCTTAACAAGAAATTGGTAGAGAGAAAATATGTGTCAGCGTGTCTATGCCGATTACTTCTATTGCATTCAGAACACCTCGCCAAAAACCAAAAATCATCTCGGAGTCAATTAGAATTAGTCTCCTTACAATATTACAAATAACAAATATAGCAATTGTGTAAAAGGTTAATTGATTTGTTTCTGAGGAAGATTTGAACGTATTTCGGTTCTACTTAATTGTCTTTAGTAACATCAATATTGTAAAAGTGTAAGCGATCCTGTGTGCACCTCCGTGTTGTAGTTCTGACCGTTCGGATTGGAATACTTGAGTATAACTACTGACCTTACCTAATCTAGGTGTTTAGATTTTATACATCAAGGATATTCAAAAGTTCCTGGCGGAAAACGGACCGAAGGTTTTGAGAGAGAAGCAACTAGAATCACTTATAATTGTGATAGAGGTAAGCTATTACAAATATGCATAATAATAATTGTAACATCATCGTAGACCGAGTTTAATGTAATGGTTATGCATAGTACTTATACTTCAGCAATATCATTATACATCCAGAAATACCTAGAGAACCCTCGTCTCATTGTTATCAAATTCTATATCAAGTTCTTATTTTTAATTTGATCCGAAGCCGTCAAAACACTCTACAAGAACTTACTGGTGATATTTTCTGTTTGAAGAAAATGAATTTATCTATAGGTGAATTGTATCACCATGGAATACTGAACGGTCAGTTTGATGCTTTGATACATTAAAAAATCTTTCGGCTATAAAGACAAGACAATCTAATCTATCTAATCTGAATTGTTAGATCTACCGTCAATGTTATTAGGGAAAGTACTCACATATTACAATGTATTGCCAGTAATGAACAAAACTTTACAATGAACAAATAAATAAAACTTTATTCAACAAACAATTATGACATATTCGACAGTATATAACAATGTGTTTTATGAAATTGATATATACAAAAAGACTTTAGTTATGAAAACAAATGGAAAGATAAAAGCAAAATAAAATGACATTATTAAGTTATATAGCTATGGTTTTATTTTGACAAGCGTACGTTGTCATCAGTAGAAATGTTTAAATACCATTAAAAAGTTACTTAGAATGTTTAAGAGATCGTTTCTCTGTGTATTACATATCAAGTAACAGTGAATTAACGTTGTCGTATATATACCACATATCATGCATCGATATATTGACGTATTCATTGTCTGCCAGTGTGAAGACTGACTTCTTGCAGAAATTATAGTGAAATCGTTACACTGTTCCGAGCTCCTCCGAGTCATGTTCGTAAAAAAAAGAACGTTGCGTCATATGGCACAGAAGAATTTGAAAAGTACCAAAATTGACAATAGGTACAGCAACCATCCATTATCTCGTGAAAATCGGCAAAACATCGTTACTTTTATTTTTATCAGAGGTATCAAAAATGATTACATGTATAAACTTTTCGACATTCTTACAATGATAAATTTACTGACAGTGACCGTTTCCGAATTCTTACGAGCTACCGTGGTTGGACGACATTGAAAGCAACTTGAAAGAACATTTTTTTCACGAAACTTTTTCTTTGAGTGACACCACTATTTCCAGCCAAGAACGAGTATACCTCGTACTCAGCAGTTACTTCATGATAGTTATTAACATATAAAGCGTCAAATATTTGATTAATCATGGATTTATTTAGCACCAAATGGTTTAGTGTAGCCAGAACTTGTCAGTTTTAGTGTACGCTGTCCTGTTCTGTCTCTTCTTATCAAATATAGACGCCGGTCTAGCTCCTGAAATATGTATAACAAGATATGGTATAATGTGTTAAAATATGTATTACAATAGATGTTACATTATGTGTAACAATACGTATTACAATAGATTTTACATTATGTGTTAAAATACATGTATGTTTAACAATAGATGTTACATTATGTATTACAATAGATGTTACATTATGTATTACAATAGATGTTATAATAGCGGTGAAATTATTTCTTGCATTGTTGTAAAGTCATAAAAATTATTATGACATAGACTATTTGTAAATAACAACTATTAGATTTAAGAATCATTTCAATTTTTTATGATGGTTATTTTCTTGGTATTGATACAAAAACAGATACAATGTGATGAATAAAGTAATATACAATATTGACCCACAAACATATGTTATCTTTATAGCATGTGATAATAATAACATATGACATAACTATTAATTGATGTTATCTTTATAGCATATGATAATAATAACGTATGACATAACTATTAATTGATATTTACCTGATTGTTCAGCATTTGGTAGTTCGTTCTCTAACATTTGAAATGTTTTTGATGTAACGTCTTGATATGGACTATCACTATCACTAACTGACATACGGGGACGATCCTCTTCTACCACAGAACCTGCTGGCGGGTTTATAAGACCACTGTAAATTGCAAGTATATTTGATTTTAAAACTCTGAGAAAACCTTTTCTTTCAAGTTACAGGTATTATGAATTTACTTACATAAACATTCCTGGTGTTATAATTTTTAGTAAATGATGTGGGATCCAATTGACTGTTGCTGCTTAACCCTCATGTCTTCTTGTTTCTTGATAAACGAATTTCACATTAGGACTCTAAATAAATACTCTATATTTATCACATATGTAGATACAGCCACAAGTGTTTTGAGATTATAAAATATGTGAATAAAATATGACGACAAGAAAGTATTATATGAAAAGAATAGTTTAAAATATATGGGAAAGAAAACAATAAGAAACGATAATGCTAAAACTTGATTTAATTTAAGCACTGTAAAAAGCATAATTACATAAAAAAAAGTTGTTGAAAAATATGAAGACAAACCTTTGTACAGTTAGGTTCACATCATTACCACATCGGAGCATTTCTCCCCGTGCCTGCTCGTGTGTAAACCCCATTGTATCAGTACCACCTATCTGTAATATAGCGTCCCCGGCCTTCAACCCAGATTGTCCAGCAATACTGTTCGGGGAAACCTGCCAAATGAAAGATACAAGAAAACTCTTTTAAAGATATTCTCCTATATTAATGTTTCATTTTAACGCGTGATATATCTTTGATATATCTTAAATTCATACATCAATATATAGTCATACTGGACTAACATTTTGTGTCATTGTTTTGTTAGTCGTTTTTCTTTCTTTTGGCAAATGTCAGCACTTTATATTTTTCACTGATGGACGTATTTAACATAATAAAAGACGGAATATAGAAAAAGAAGGAACCAATACTATTACTTTTCCCGCGGCAATGGTCACGTGATTTAATACAAATCGGTTTGTTTATCAGGCATCACAATCAATTGTTGTTATTATTGCTGACTTATCAAGATGGAATTCACATCTTATTACTCTACACAAAAGCCACATGGCTTATCATACAACAGGAAAATCGGTATTTCCTCCTTCTATTTATAACCGTTATATGTGTAATTGCTGATTGTAAAATGCAGGTAAGATACAGTAACCATGGAAACTAAATTCCGAAAATGTATCATAATTGATATATGATATCAAAACATCCCACGTAAGAGGAGGAAATATTTTATTGATATATCTTCAAATAAATTAAATTCTCTTTCTAAACAAACATTAAATGCGTTCATTTAATCGTGAAAATTTGTTTTCATTTCGTCTTAACGGACCAATGATTGCAACAGCTACCGGCAAAATACCTGAATGCATTTATACACGATGTAAATAGATCTGTATTACGAAAAGTTACATTGAAAAACGTTAACTGCTACATGAATAATCTTGCGCAAAATCAGTTAGTATTCTTTCTTTAATCAGGAAAACAATGATATTGTTTTACGTTTATTGAGAACAAATATATTTTAAGTAGATTCCTTTAATATAAGGAAAGTACATTAATTCAAATCTATTTGTTTTCATTAAAGAACTTAAATTATGATGAAAAAATTAAGAAAAATTGAAACGCCTATAAGTTATATGTAACATTTTATATAAAGTATACTATATATATATTACAATTACTTACATGAGCGACAAACAGAGGCATGCCCACATCCGAGCCACCCTGCATTTTAAATCCCCATGGTTGACTTGTATCAAATCTTCTTAAATCAACTTGTCGAGACATTCTTCAAGAGTGGAAAGTGTAATCCAAGATATACTCAAATGAACAGCAGTCAATTTAAAATGTATTCCGATCCGTGTTAAATATCCTTATTTACAACAAGTTCCTGTATATGAAAACTCTGCGATAGTTTTACCTCAAGTTAAGTATACCATTACAGTAGCAGGAGGCAAGAAGTCGCTATAAGTTTTCCTGTTCTACCTATTAAGGTGAATATCCTATACGTAAATAGGTATACATGACGTACCGTATTTATTATAATAAAGGTAAATTCAGCCAGAGAGAACGTACGGGCACATAAACGAGCTATCAGCAATCTTGGTGAACATCTATAATTCTGTTACCATCCTTGTTAATATTTGAAATATTTTTACCTCAATGTCCGTTTATATACACAGCTATAGTGTCCTTTCTTACCAAAATGCGAGTTCAATTTTGAAATAGTTATATCACAGTGCTTGTTCACAACTAAAAAGAATATACTATAACTGAAATAATGTTACCAAAGTACCCGTTCACATGTGACATAGTGTTAAAATAGTGCCCGTTCATATCTGAAACAGTTCTAGCATAGTGCCCGTTCATATCTGACATAGTGTTTTACCAAAGTCCGAGTTTATTTGTGAAATAGTTTGATCAAAGTTCCCGTTCATTTCTGTAAAGGGTCTACCAAAGTCCCCGTTCGTATCTGAAAAAGTTTATCAAAGTCCCCGTTCATTTCTGAAATAGTTTATCAAAGTCCCCGTTCATATCTGAAATAGTTTATCAAAGTCCCCGTTCATTTCTGAAATAGTTCGAACAAATGCCCGTTCATATCTAAAAATTTTTTTTATCAAAGTCCCCGTTATTTTCTGAAATAGTTTTAACAAAGTCCCCGTTCATATCTATAATAGTTAACCAAAGTCCCCGTTCATATCTGAAATAGTTTATCAAAGTCCCCGTTCATTTCTGAAATAGTTTAACCAAAATCCCCGTTCATATCTAGAATAGTGTTTAACCACAGTGCCCTTTCATATCTTAAATAAATAGTGTTAACACAGTGCTCGTTCATATCTGAAAGAGTGTTTTTATCACAGTCCCAGTTCATATCTAAAATAGTGTTAAACCACAGTCACCGTTCATATCTAAAATAGTTTTACTAAAGTCCTCGTTCATATCTGAAATAGTGTTTAACCACAGTCCCTGTTTATATCTGAAATAGTGTTTAACCACAGTCCCTGTTTATATCTAAAATAGTTTTACTAAAGTCCTCGTTCATATCTGAAATAGTGTTTAACCACAGTCCCTGTTTATATCTGAAATAGTGTTTAACCACAGTCCCTGTTTATATCTAAAATAGTTTTACTAAAGTCCTCGTTCATATTGATCCTGAAATAGTGTTTTAAAACCACAGTCCCCCCTGTTTATATCTGAAATAGTGTTTTACCACAGTCCCTGTTTATATCTAAAATAGTTTTACTAAAGTCCTCGTTCATATCTGAAATAGTGTTTAACCACAGTCCCTGTTTATATCTGAAATAGTGTTTAACCACAGTCCCTGTTTATATCTAAAATAGTTTTACTAAAGTCCTCGTTCATATCTGAAATAGTGTTTAACCACAGTCCCTGTTTATATCTGAAATAGTGTTTAACCACAGTCCCTGTTTATATCTAAAATAGTTTTACTAAAGTCCCCGTTCATATCTGAAATAGTGTTTAACCACAGTGCCGGTTCATATCTGAAATAGTGTTTAACCATAGTCCCCGTTCATATCTGAAATAGTGTTTAACCATAGTCCCCGTTCATATCTGAAATAGTGTTTAACCACAGTGCCCGTTCATATCTGAAATAGTGTTTAACCACAGTGCCCGTTCAGATCTGACACAGTATACAACTATAAGCTCCACCTAAGTGAGGACACAAAAATACTGTTTCTTGAAAAACACTATAAAAACACACATTGTAATTAAAATAAACAAATAGAAATAGTTAATTACTATAATTATGTAACATGGCGATTGATTTATTAATAACACAATATCAACAAATATCTATCACAGTCATTTATTATCTGGTGATTTCCTAAATCATAATAAGAATAACTTTGTTGTAAGTCTATACAGGTTTTTTATATAAAACCCAAAACAATAGTTGAAACTATATAAAAACATAGTGAGATGAAATACATACTTTGTATAAATAGTTCAATAGAGGTTTGATAACATATGAAAAAAAACAGCAAATATTCAAACAATAATTCACATTACATTATTTCTAATTAATGTAATTACAGACATGTATATTAACATATAGTGAAAATGTGGTCAACCCTCTACATTTCTCTATACTATTTATGCTTCAGTAAGAATGTTACAAAATGACAGATTTAAAACAATTAAATATAACTGTTGTTACTAGAATCCACTAGACTATCTCATTTTCTGAAAGTGGTGCACCTTTACTTTATCTCATTATATGAAAGTGGTGCACCTTTACTTTATCTCATTATCTGAAAGTGGTGCACCTTTACTTTTTCTCATTATCTGAAAGTGGTGCACCTTTACTTTATCTCATAATCTGAAAGTGGTGCACCTTTACTTTATCTCATTATCTGAAAGTGGTGAACCTTTACTTTATCTCATTATCTGAAAGTGGTGCACCTTTACTTTATCTCATTATCTGAAAGCGGTGCATCTTTACTTTATCTCATAATCTGAAAGTGGTGCACGTTTACTTTATCTCATTATCTGAAAGTGATGCACCTTTACTTTATCTCATTATCTGAAAGTGGTGCACCTTTACTTTTTCTCAATTTCTGAAAGTCGCTAAACTTCATTAATGATCAACATTATTTTTTGTCCAATCACAATTTTTTTTCAAATTTCTGCTAAGTCTAACTTTGGTTAATGTGTACAGTAACTAAATAAAATTGTATTTACTTAATCAGTCGTTAAACCAGTCTAACTGTTAGCAGTTTAGAGAAATGCTCTGTTTTTTGTTGAAAAACAATATTTTAATAATACAAATTAACTAAAATAATTGGTCACACCGCGCTTGACCATTTTAATTTTGTAAATAACTTTTAACTAATAACCTATGCTTAGAAGACAGACTGTATCTCATTACACAGCATAAGATTAATTTATACATATATATATATATGTAAATACATGTGTATGTAAAAAAATACTTTTTTAAAAAAAATAATGATCTAATTAACAATAAACTTTGGGTAACAGCCATAGACATTTACAAATAAATTGACAAATATCACAGATTTCTTATTGACAAACAAGTATCAGTTAAATATATACAGTAAACCCTTTTCCACTGATACAGATTCAGACCAGCCTGCACATCTGTGCAGTTTGACCATACTCAATTATTACTCTTTGAACTCTTTAACACAGTTAAATAACCAATCCTTATTACCTGATCTATTAAGTTTACAGTTATATCAAAACCCTTTTTACCAGATCTATATATAGACACAGATTAAGACTGTACAAACACAGTTATATCAGATTAAGACTGTACAAACACAGTTATATCAAAACCCTTTTTACCAGATCTATAAATAGATACAGACTGTACAAATCCTGATTACTTGGTCTATATATAGATACAAGTTAAGACTGAACAGAAATAAACATCACAGATATCTTATAATCTAACAAACACATTCTATATTATATTTATCTTATGTAAATTACAACATGTTAAAGGCTTATTCCTAAAAGGTAAAAATATGAATTATCAAGATGCTCAGACTATCTTGAAAAATTGTTCATTCGCAACTTCGAGCCAAACCTATTGAATGTAAGTATTTCTTTTTCTTGTCAGCTATAAACTAGACTTAAATTTTAAATAATTATAATCAATGGTGTAACATTTCAATATAGCATTATGATTTTTATATGTATACTTGTTTTTTCATGAGCATTTGCCATAACTGTTTCTGTTTTTATAGGTCTGACTTCTCTTAAGCCCTGAAACTATTCGCAATCTTATCCTTATTTTAACATTTGTCCTTATAATGGTTAAGTTAAATTATTCCCACCTTAAACATGTTGTATAAAACTTATACAATTAAGTTTTTCTAAAATCAAAAAATATAACTAACATGGTCACGAAATCTCATAAATAACAATTAACAAAACCCTGAGGTTCCAACAAAAGAAGTGTATATACACAATATTTTTTGTCTTTGATATAAAATCATAATCTCATAGTTTAAACAAGACCATTATATGTTAATGTTCCAATGTCATGAAATATACATTTCACATTCATGTATTACAGTAGAAATTATTTAACAAGAGGGCCATGATGGCCCTGAGTCGCTTACCAGAAACAACTGCGTTTCATGTTGGAATGTCAATATATTCTAATATTAAATTTGAGCATAGAATATGTTTAAACAATAATTTGAAGAAATGCCATGACCTGGGGTATTTAAGCTTTAGCTTAAACGGGGCTAATCAAATTATTATGAGCAAACTTTATAAAAGACTACTTAAGAATGCTACAAAGTTTGGTGATCATCTATCAATTATTTCAGTAGGAAATGATGTTCGAAGGTTTTTTCTCTTTCTATATTTTTAGCTTTAGTGGCCCCTAAAAGGGGCTAATCAAATTAATATGAGCAAACTTGATAAAAGAGTACCCAAGAATGCTACAGACAAAGTTTGGTGATCATCCATCAATTGGTTCTGCAGTAGAAGATGTTTAAACGTATTTCTATTTTTAATTTTAGCGGCCCCTAAAAGGGGCAAATCAAATTCATATGAGCAAACTTGATAAAAGACTACCCAATAATGCTACAGACAAAGTTTTGTGATCATCCATCAATTAGTTCTGTAGCAAAAGACGTTTAAATGTATATCTTTTTTTAATTTTAGCGGCTCCTAAAAGGGGCCAATCAAAATAATATGAGCAAAATTGATAAAAGACTACCCAAGAATGCTTCAGACAAAGTTTGGTGATCATCCATCTATTAGTTCTCTAGAAATAGACATTTAATGGTATTTCTATTTTTAGCTATAGAGACCCCTAAAAGGGGCTAATCAAATAAAGATAAGCAAACTTGATAAAAGACTATACAAGAATGCTACAGACAAAGTTTGGTGATCATCCATCAATTAGTTCTCTAGAAATAGACATTTAAAGGTATCTCTATCTTTAGCTTTTGCAGCCCCTAAAAGGGGCCAATCAAATTAATATGAGCAAACTTGATAAAACACTACCCGAGAATACTACAGACAAAGTTTGGTGATCATCCATTGATTAGTTCTGTAGAAGATGTTTAAAGGTTTTTCTATTTTTAGTCATAGAGACCCCTAAAAGGGGCCAATCAAAATAATATTAGCAAACTTGATAAAAGACTGCCCAATAATGCTAAGTTTGGTGATCATCCATCAATTAGTTCTGTAGAATTAGACGTTTAAAGGTTTTTCTATTTTTAGCTTTTGTGGCCTCTAAAAAGGGCCAATCAAATTCATATGAGCGAACTTGATAAAAGACTACCCAAGAATGCTACAGACAAAATTTGGTGATTATCCATCCATTAGTAATCTGTAGAAGAAGATGTTTAAAGGTTTTTCTATTTTTAGCCCTAGAGACCCCTAAAAGGGGCCAATCAAATTAATATCAGCAAACTTGTTAAAAGACTACCCAAGAATGCTACAGACAAAGTTTGGTGATCATCCATCCATTAGTTCTGTAGAAGAAGATGTTTAAAGGTTTTTCTATTTTTAGCTCTGCTGACCCCTAAAAGGGGCCAATTGGAATGACATGAGCAAATTTAAGTGTGACTGTCACAAGGATGCTACAGACCAAATTTGAAGTAAATCTGTCTAGTAGTTTTAGAGAAGAAGATGATTGTTGACGCATGATGACGGATGCCGGAGTATCCCCCTTTGATACTAATAGCTCACCTTGAGCCTTCGGCTCTGGTGAGCTAAAAATTTGCTCATATTTGAATATGTAGATGGTAAATAAATAAAGTCTTCTTAAAGCTTGTTGAATCAGATAGTAATTCCATATTAAGGATGTTGAAATTATAAAAAAATAGTTCAGTTTGTAACAGCCCAACACCTATACCACTCATACAGTCACTTGTATCCATGGCGATTAATCTTCACTACTTTCCATCAATGTCTTCAGAATAACAGATGCAAAATCTGAAATATCTTCAGCTGGTATTTTTGTGATCCTGCTAACACTAAACATTATCTGAAATATATAACACTAAAATTATCTGAAATATATAACACTAAAATTATCTGAAATATATAACACTAAAATTATCTGAAATATATAACACTAAAATTATCTGAAATATATAACACTAAAATTATCTAAAATATATAACTAACCATCATCTGAAATATATAACAAAGTGTTATAATCTGACAGTCTTATTCTTGTAGAAACACTGGATAGTCTTGTGTTTGAACAGATGTCAGATAATTGTTACATGTATGCTTTAAAATGACTTCATTCATTCAAAAAAAATGGAAATTGAAAATATAAGTTTCTGTATTTTTTTTTCATTTTTTTTTTGAAAAATAATATAAATGTAATAATTAAAATGCAAGAAAGAAAAATAAACACAAGCTCAGGCTCACTAATAGGTCTTAATATCCTGCTCTCTCAGCTTAAAATTTTCAGAGACACATTAACTAAGCTTCTAAAACATTTAGAATCTACCCTCTCATCAGATGATTCCAGTATGATATAGGCACTCGGTTAAAGATTGTTCAATTATGATTCTTCCCCTTATTGCAAACAAAAGATCAGGAAGTATGACAGTATGCAAGCTAAAGACCAGTTAAAGTTTGGTCAAATTGAACATTTTCCTTACCTCAAATTCTGAAGAAAAAAAAACACTGAAGAGATATGGTAGAAGAAATAAGCAGGAGAGGTTGATCTAACTTTACAAAACTGTACAAACACATCAGGGAACATATTGGTGGTATATACCTGTCAATATTGTCCCTAACCTTCAAATATGTTACACTCACAATATTATACCTTTTCATGAGAATTTCTGTCAATGATGTAGGCAGCAGCGGTAATCAAGGTGACCATCAGTAACATCTTGTCTGCCCTTACACTTGCAAAACATTCCCTGAATAACAAAATGGTTATATATACATCCCATGAACATTATCAAAAGTGATATAAACATTCCATCCTTGAATATATTGGATATATAAACTCCCTGAACAACTAACAGTGTTCAATCTAGAGCGCGCCATTGCGCCATTGACCCCCTGAAAAGGCCGCCGGCGCAAAACAAAATCAACTGTTGGCCCGACGGGCGCACTCATAGAAAATGCCCTAAATGACATTAGAATGCTTTCTTAAACCTGATTAAGTACATAAAAGAAGTTTCTTGTGAATAATATTAATAAATACTGAATTCAAAACTGAAGTTTGTATTGAAAAACAAGAGCATGTTGGTAAGATAGTTTACCGCACTCGGTAACCCATTTAAAACCTTTATCGCTACGCTCTCTCGGTCCGCGTCCGTAAATACTATACTGTAGACTTGTTCTTCGTACCGTAACCTATTACTTACTTTTGAGTCACAGTATTTACAAGTAGAGATTTTGATGCTAAAGCATCAAGTCGCCGGATAGAAAAATGATTGTATTATCATAAATATATGAAAATATAAGTTTAATGGTTCAAGTATAAAAATAAGAGGAACAATGAGTTGAGTGAGGCTTGTAAGGCAAGTGCTATGCTGGTTATTCTTCTTGTAATTTTACTTTATACATATACTGTTGTACCATACATTGAAATCCGTATAGGTTACTAGTTCTGATTCAGATAATTACCGACAAATAATTACCGATCATCGAATATTTGCAAAGTGACTATGAAAATATATATGTTTAATTATTTCATGAAACAATGCAATTTTACTGTAAAAGTGTTGTACGTCATTATTATAAGCTATAGAAAAAATATATAATTTAGTTGAAACCCATCGTTACATACGATATACAAAAATTAACGTTTAATTGCCTTTCAGTGCGACAAACTATCAACACAAAGATAGTTTATTATTTTTCTCTATGTATCTAATACGATTCCTGACCCCTAACGTCATACCGTTTTTGGAAACCTGCGTGACGGAAACCGACGGAATATACCGAAATCAACGATTACCATTATATATTTCAATAATGTGCCTCTTAAGCATAACATTATTTTGGGATGTTCAACCTAAACTAAACAATTGAACTTTCTTGTCGAATGTTTGACAGAAAGGGCCAAGTTAAACCCTTTACCAAGAAGAAAGGAAAAGGTTTTGAAAATGTATTTTTAATGTAAACAGGTTTCTCTAATGATATAAAGTATGAACCTGATTAATGAAAAATAACTTATGTAATTATCTGTACAAAATTACAATGATATGCATCTTATCAGTTACCACCAGTCTTATCAGCAATCTGTAACTATTAATAGATTTTATAACGATATACAACATATATAAACATGTAGTCACGTGATTCTTACGAAAGACCAGGGAGCATTTGTTTATAATTAGATAAAATAATGTAATATAAAAGGTCTCATAAAAAATAAACAACCAAATAATTATAAAGTGTCATTTCAAATATCATTCATGATTTATATATGATAAAATAGCAATGCTTGACACAAAGAAAAAAGTAAAAGTATCTCTAATATTCAATGACTGATCCTTGGGGATACGTTATTGATTCATTTTATGAAAATTGTAATGTTGCTTTTTAAGACGTCAATATGTGCATATTTCAATCCACTGAGCAAAGTTATCATATGTTTGATTTTTTGTGATTACTGAAAAATAATTGTTGTCTTTAACTGTTCAATGTTTGATATGCTTTTATTTTCATATTTTAAGGGCTTCTCCTACCATAGGTATAATATTAAACTATTACAAATATAGTCGCCGGTTTCTACCGGCGACTAATAAGCAAAACAAATTGTCACAGATAATCCAATACGTGCGTGTAGTTATAGTTTTTTCACGGTCAAAACAAATAAATATGTAATTACTTTCCAAAGGAAAAAAAATACATATTTGTGAAAAGTGCGAGTTAATTATAGAGAAGTGTGCATAAATTATTACGAACACGCCTTCATCCAATTAAAAAAGTCTTAAAGATGGAGCAATCAAACACGATTGGCTAGGGAGTGTCTGACAATTAAGTAAATTAACTTTGATTGGTCTTTGGCTGGTCGGCGCTAAAACATTGTGCATATCATTAATCAATACAGACATCTTAAGCGTGACGTAAGAACTGCTGCCCTGACAAAAGATCAAAGGTACCGGTATGTCAATATACATTGTCTTAGCACCTGTTGACACTTTGTTTTTCGCTTGGATATATTGAGAAGGGTAAATGTTTTTAGCGACTATTGTAAGTTTATATTCTTCATAAACAAAGCTAATTTCAAAATATGATTTTCCTTTATATATCGGGCGCTGATTAAAAAACTGAACATTATTATCAAATATCCCTGGTAACATTAAAATAAGATTCATATTTTTCTTTGAACATTATGTCATCGCGTTTCTTTACCAATCAGTTCTTAAAATTGAGCCTGTATCAACGCTAATGTCATTTTTTTTAGTTGAGTTGTTTTGGAATTTTGCAACCGTTTTTGGTCTAAATATGGTACGTGAACAAGTAACTTAAAAGATACAATACCTTATTTGAATTTGATGTTCATTTTAAAGGTCCTGTATGTTTTGTGATTGATATTGTTACTGTATGTATACCACACTTGCAAAAGATTATATATGTATATAATTATGCAAATAAAACAATTTTCAAACATCGAAGAATATGTAAAATGTGTACTGCAAATATTTGTGCACATTATATGTAATCAATAAATTGCATGCATTCATTTCTGATTGGAAAATTTGACTTAGAATTTATAGAAAATAACTTTCTAATTACCTCCCTTTATTTACATGAAATGTTAAATTGGGTAATATCGTTATAAATAATGCTTATTGGAACTTACAATATTGACAAATCTTAATTTGAGGATCATATTTTTGAAATAAAACCATGAAAAAATTGTGTTACAGGATCTTTAAGTGTGGGCCCCCTTTTTTCTCAAATGACCCCCTTTTGAAAAGTTTATAGGCCCGAAGGGCCCCCTGGGAATTAGTTCTAGATTGAACACTGACTAATATGGTTATATAAACATGCCCTGCACATTATAGCAATGGTAATATAAACATGCCCTGCACATTTCAAATGATTATATCAACAGAATCTGAACATAATAAATGGTTATCTATAGATATCTTTAAGCATTCCCTGTATAAAATAGTTATTCATAGATAATATGTGTAATGAAAATTTCTAATAATGAAATGTTTGTCCTGTTTTTGAAGAATTATTTGATGATACAATGAATGTCAATTCTAAATTTCAAGATCTGCTGCTGCAAAATGAATGCTGAACAGAAATAAGTCCATTTTTGCTATTCCTTGTAGATACAATGTGTTATTTAAGAAAAATTTTGTATACAATAAGCTCTTGGTGTGCATTACAGCATGTAATTTTACCTAAATTGAGAGACTAGCTAATTTCCTTTACGATATGTATGGATCTAAATAATTGGTAGTGCACGCTTACAAATTTCCATGCTAAATTAAAATATTTGTCATTTGAAACCAAATTAATGACATTTACAAATTTTAACCTAATTAATGAAGCATTATATCAAATTGATTTAATTTAAGTCATTAGTAAAATCGATTGTAGATTTTCTAATTTTAATAGATCAGGAACATTTTGTGAATTTTTGTGAATTTGTTTCAGACAGGAGAGTGCACCTTGGTTAGTTACAGCAAGAACTTACTGAACTTCTGTAATCTGTCTGTATAGCTTTCTTATACAATGTATTCATAATCATGTCTTCCAGGACTTTAACACACATGGTACAGAGAGCATTATATTAGTGATTAGTGATTTGAAATCAGTAATGGCAACAGTATGCCCATAGTGTCACCATTTATCAGTACCTTAAGTTATTTACAAATAAATTCAGGACAATGAAGGTGATGTCAATATAATAACATACATGTCTTTCTGTGTGACTGGGGAGCCACCTGCAGCTACTTCATGTAGTCTCGAGTAAATCTCACTATACTGTAAATACACCATATCTAACAGGTTTAATGTCACCCCGTGTAACACTTTCACCTCAAACTCACACTCTGTTTTACCTGTGACAAGAAAAAAACATTTTAATGTTTAGCTACAAAATATTGAAGTGACTATATAATTTATTTGTACATCATTATTATTGAGGAGAAAAATAATGACAGAGAATTAAAGCAATTGGAAACAGGAATACTAATTAAAGGTATTTTAGTAATTCAATCTTTAGTACATTAACTAACACATTATACAATTCCATTTTGTAAAGCTAAGTGCCACACTAAGATTTTAGCTTCTGTTTACATTTCTAAAATGGTCTATAGTAAAACATGACTCTTGAACAAAGCTGCCACCTCAAGTATGCAAGGGAGACCACAAGAGATAATGAAAGAGAATGACAATTTATTTGGTTACCTAAAGCTTCTAGTATACACTCTAGATATACAAGTGGTGAGGGTCTGGAAACACAGAAGTCAAGTGTTTTTAGAATACGTAGCTCTGATTGTAAGATACTCTCCGTGTTGTAACGATGTCCAGCATCAAAAAGAAAACGTCTTGCCTTGTTTGGACTTAAAATCTGTGAGAATAGTGAATAAAGATATGATAATTTATCCATAATTATTAAAGGAAAAATCCTAATGTATGTATTATTTGTAAATCTGAGATGTCATCAAGAAGAAATAAGATCCATTTACAAAATGATATTCGAAGAATTATGGTGTTTTAAAATCTAAACATTACAATGCTTAATTTGTTTAACTTATGCTCTGAAGTTGTAGTGTCTGTTGTAATATTTCAATAAGCTTCAAGACTGAAAAGCTAAAAGAGAATCGTCAACTGAATAGAGTCTGATCTCATAGATGGACTCCTGGGTAAATACTGATCTCAGTTTATACTTGTGACATTACACGATTAGTCATGATATAAGCTATAGATTTAAATGATTTAACATAACTCATAATGGTTGTTCAACACTTACTCTATAGTGAGAGGTGAGTTTACTGGCAATTTGTATACAGGAAATGACACGTAAGACAACCTGGTTTGAGACTCGTTTCTGTATCTCCTGCCATTCCTTCATGCGAGTTTTCACAGGGTGAGTATTTACTACATGTTCATGTAGATCCTGTACATGCTGCAGCATAAACCTGCAAGAATACAAAACACTGTTCAAAGGTTCAAGTTGGAAACTCGCTTAAGTCAATTAACTTTACAGTTATCTCAATCAAACTGCATTTAGATTTAACTTCGAATTATGTAAATGTCATATTAACAGGCAATTTAACGTTATCAAAATATCTGATTCAAGAAAATTTGACCCATTTTAAATCAATTGGGTAATAAAGAAATTAAAAAAAAAAATCTTATGACATATTACTGGGTTAAAGAAATCATTGGTTTCTGATTGAAAACATATGACAATGTTTATCTGACTTTATGTGGCTAACCAGGTTATTTTCGTAATTACTAAATATGTTATACTGGTATATTCTGCATCATCAAACTTATGGAGCCAAGCATTTGTTCCAGGTATTAAAATTAAGGGAAGATGAAGCAAATATATTATGATCATTTAAGAAACAGTACACATCTCTGACTGCCCCCTGGCACTACAAGGACAGACCAGTTGGCCAATAATTACCTGATTGACAGAAGTCAAAGACTGACATATGTACATTGTTTTGGGCTGGTTTGGAGGTCATTATTATGCTACACAACCTGAGGTGACATGTATTACATGTATTTCTGTTTTATATTACACTGTAATACCACATTATGTAAATGCTTTAACAACGTGAAAATTACTTTTAGCACTAACTAAAACAATTCAAGTTGAAGTTCTGAAATTGAAAAGCTTTCAGCATTCTACTATTTGTTTTGACAGCCACATAAAATGTATAACCAGTCACCCACCTCTTAATCTTAAGAATTAAGTCTGATAAAAAGTCATAGCGCCTACTCAGATATTTACTTCTTTTTTGTCACAAACAATATCATTTTGAGGCCTGGTAACACTTAGTGACTAACATTATACAAGGAACTCATTTATGTAACATATAATAAAGGTATAATATATCTATATATTTACCTATCAAACAAGTCCAGGCTAAGATATTTTACTTCACTTGACATCTTCATCCGATCACAAGTTAAGAACAAAAATTGTACACTCTCTTGAATGATAGAGGAACCCTGAAAATATAGAACACATTATTAACCAAACATTATTAACCAATACAAATAAAATAATAAACAAAACAATCTATAAGAATCTGTTCTTTCATCGAACAAATTTTTTTACAGATTAAAAAAAAAAAAATCTTAAAAATTGATAGGAAAAGACTGTTATGATCAAAATGATTTTCAGTCCTAGTGGTCCAACTAAGCACTAGTCTGACAGCAAAAAACTAGTAGAAATTTTTTCCAGCTAGTAGAAATTGCCAATTTTGTGAATTCTTTTAAAGCACTCTGGAAACATTTAATAAATTACTATCTCTTGCACACAGTAAATAAATTTCTGACATGCTGGAGGTTTCAAAAAGCTTGCTGTTGTTAAAAAACTTAAAGAGTTCACTTAAAAAATAGTATGTGACTGATAAAAGAACAGCACCCCTGTAAATATCCCATGTGTTGCTATAGGTTTATCATTCAATCTGTCTGCAAAGCCTAGACTTGGTAATGAAAATTGGATACTTTTTTTAACAATAACATAGTAACAATCTAACTACCAAGGTAGCTCTTATAAGTATGGTTGGATATCATATGATCTGGTGATCTTAGTATTAACATGTCGCTGACCTAAGTCCTTATTGGAACCTACATTTAGTGATTAAGTTGGCTGCTGAAATATTGCATTTTGATGTCAATAAACAAAGACTGTTCCATAGTCAAGGCAGAACAATATCATTATACTAACTCATCAAAGAAATGTTAAGCACACCCTGACTGAATTAAAGGTAGAAATGCAGTAGAAATTAGATATCCTATCAGATTTTTATTTCATAAATATCACCTGAACTGCCTTAGCATTCTCCAATGCCTCCGAGTTTTTATCAGCAAGTAGAACCATCCAGTCTTCAAGCATTTCTGTTGTTGCACCACAAAGTTGATTGTTGAATAATGGCTCTGGTGGCGTCCCAAATAATGCTGTAGGTCTTAAAGCAGTCACCTTTTCCATTATCTTGAAATGACTGATGGCGGGTAAAGGGAAGTTACTCTGTACGATGACCTATGAAATATCATTTTATCATTAATTCAAACTCGTAACTGTTGTTGATTCTAGACAGAATTCGTAATAAATGAATATGCTTGTTTATTTCTTTTAATAAATACTGATTTATAAATGATAATTACCTGATTACGATCTGGCACTTGCGTCGTCTGAAATGCAAAACGGTGAATATGCACGTTTCTCTCAGAATATTTGATCCTAAAACTGGAGGTTGGGCACCACTAAATGCTCTCCAAAGTTATTAATAAAGTACGAATTTTTCAAAACATCAACATCCATAATATTATGTTCTTCTCGAGATTACGCTTCTTTAAATGAAATTAAACAGATACTCAGAATGAGAAATTGATATTCCAAAGTTTCAAATATGCCACAATCTAAAAATAGGAAAAAGAAGGGGTCCAACATCATTCATCAATACTGTACAGTATATCTAACTGGGAAATACAGTACAATAGTTTTAGCATCACCCAGCATCCACACACTTCAATTTTAGCAGGCATGATTAAACGCAGACAGCAATTAACTTGAGCCAAATATGGCTTTTCATTCATGAAAGTATTATTAATTTATTAGATAAATATTAGTTTTGTTTATCTGCAATTTAAATGTCTAAAATAAGGTTTACTAACAATTTGTTTCTGAATGGAATTTGTCACTAGCAACTTCACAAGACCAGCCTTCAAACATGTCTGATCAAATTGTACTATAGAGCTGGAAAATCTATCATCTTATTTTTCATTATTGATATACACATCCACAGACACTTGGGGTTTGGAGCTCAAAACGCCTTTAAAATCCAAATAAAATGCATATTTGTCAATCCAAGCACATGTACTGATCATATATATATATATAAAAAAAACTTAATATAAGCCGTTTTGAAAAAAATTCATATTTCAACATCTATAATATTATTATAGATGTTGAAACATGATTTTTTTTCAAAACGGCTTATATTAAGTTTTTTTTATATATATGATCAGTACATACAAATATGCATTTTATTTGGATTTTAAAGGCGTTTTGAGCTCCAAACCCCAAGTGTCTGTGTACACATCTATCACACAAATTCAGGAAGACGAAAGTTCAATACACAGAATAATTCATTAGTAAGACACTGGACACATCATGCACCAAATGGTAACAGAACCCTAGCATGTACCCACGAACTTCAAACTTCACGATTGCCACCATCTTACCATGTTAATAGAGCATGGCAGGAGAAAAAATGTGGAGAATAACTAATTTTAAACATTATAACGTGTCTTCACAAATACTTTTAATGAAAATTAATTGCTGTACTACAGGCTTAAATTAGAAGTTTGTCATTAAGATTAACTAAAACTATCATTATAAATGTGATTAATACCCCCGCAAGACTGCTTCGGAAATGAGGAAGTTACTATTAACAGAATACCTTGTAAAATAATTGAAATGAGAAATGGCTGTGGGCAATAAAAGATAGTTGTTGCTCTTGTATGTTGCATTTCCTTTTCACTGTGGTTGACCATTGATGACGTTTTATTGAATTACTCTGTAATAAGTCCAGAAAGAGTTACGCTTCTTGAGCAAGTGCACTTCCTCTCATTGCGCTTGACCATTGTATGAAGTTGTATTGAATTCCAACTACTAGTTTTCAAGTTATGCACTGGACAAAAAAATAACAAAGGGCACTAACTATGATGTAAATAGTCCAAATAAAGTTATGGTTCTTGTGCACTGCAATTCCTCTTATTGTGCTTGACCATTGTATGAAGTGTATTGAATTCCAACCAGTACTTTTCAAGTTATGCTCCGGACAAGGAAAAGTATGAAAGAGCAATAACTCTGTAATTTGTCAAAATGGAGTTATGGTTCTTGTGCACTGTACATCCTCTAAATGTGCATGACCATTGTATGAAGTTGTATTGAATTCCAACAAGTAGTTTTTAAGTTATGCTCCGGACAAGGAAAAGTAACAAAGGGCAATAACTCTGTAATTAGTCAAAATGGAGTTATGATTCTTGTGCACTGCACTTCCTCTCAATGTGCTTGATAATTGTATGAAGTTGTATTGAATTCTAACAATTAGTCTTCAAGTTATGCTCCGGACAAAAAAGCAATAGAAAAGTAACAAAGGGCAATAACTCTGTAATTACTTTAGTTATGGTTCTTATGCACTGCACTTCTTATTGTGCTTGACCATTGTATAAAGTTGTTTTGAATTCCAACCAGATGATTTCAAGTTATGCTCCGGACAAGGAAAAGTAACAAAGAGCAATAACTCTGTAATTAGTCAAAATGGAGTTATGGTTCTTGTGCAATGTACTTCCTCTCAATGTGCTTGATCATTGTATGAAGTTGTATTGAATTCCAACCTTTAGTCTTCAAGTTATGCTCGGACAGAAAAAAGCAATAGAAAAGAAACAAAGGGCAATAACTCTGTAATTACTTTAGATATAGTTATGGTTCTTGCACACTGCACTTCCTTTTATTGTTCTTGATCATTGTATGAAGTTGTCTTGAATTCCAACCAGAAGTCTTCAAGTTATGCTCCGGACAATGTGACTCATATACCCCCCCCCCACTTCGTTTCAGGGGGGGGGGGGTGTATAATAACTTTGAGTATTTGTGGCAAAACTTTAGATGTCATTCACAGTAGATATTTGGTGGCAGATGATCATTACTACAACAAATACTGTAGCTAAATTAAAACCACAACAAGTACAGATACAAGCTGGATATTTTCCTATATTAAAAGAAGTCTATTTAAATGGGGTTTCAACCAAATATGCTTTGGTCAAAATATTTTAGTTTCAACAAAACCTTTCATAATGTTGGATTTTTTATTTCCTTTTTAAACACTGTATACACTATTTACAAAATATACTCGTATCATGAAAACAAAGATTTATTCATTTTAACTGGAGTACAAAACCTGATTATTGTCATTACAATATGAAATAAGTTTTCTAATATATATAGATATATATATATAAATGATACCACAACTTCAAGACCTGTCACAAGTTGTTGTTCCTAATTATACTATCACGAAACAAGTCTAGATAATGAAAATAATATGGCATGTTTATAGTTACTACAAATAGTGATCAAATAATTTCTATAAATAGACACCTATCAACTTTTCTCAACTGAAATTTTTTATAAACAACACCATAACTGTTTAATATCATACGTAATACATGAATAAGAATTTAAATAAAAAATATATGCAGAGATCTTGCCGAGGACGCGATTTTGAGCCATTGGCGCTACAAAAATGAGAATGTCGCAGGAAAATCGGCAGCAAAGGGCGCATTTAGGTCAATGTTTACTTATTTTCCCAAGGCCCATACTTTGGTCAAAATGGCCCATCATTTTCAGACCAAGTAGGTCCAGGGCCAAGTACTTTCAAATTATCTGCAGATCTCTGTATATGTCACAGCAAACACACAACTATTTGCACACTTTTTGTTAAATTAGAACAAAATAAGAGAAATTCTACATACAAACATCACATCAAAAGTAAGAGTTCATTATGTCAAAGGAAAAACAAAGTATAAGAAATTGTCAAAAACCAGGAATTCCACCAAAGATTATAGGTTAATCCTCTCAGAAATATCACATGCCCTATGCATAGTAGAGTATTCATATATTACTTACATAATGGAAACAAATTACCATAGATCATAATTTTGCACAAAAAAATTAAACCACTAAGCACTGATGATGTGCTCCAGGGCACTTGGTGATATATATTGCTATGAAAAATTTGTTGAAATCAGTTGAGAGATAGTAGTTGTACATTCAAAAGCATATTTCTGTATGCTTATTACATTATCATATCATGAAAATAAAAAAACATAGGGTCATAAATTAGATCACAAGGCACTGATGATATGCACCAGGGCACTTGATGACAATAGTTCTATGAAAGTTTGGTTGAAATCAGTTTAGAAATATAGAACCTGCCCACAAAAGAAATTGTTAACTCCTGTGACATTAACAAATCTAATAACAATTTTTCTTTCCTTTATAGAAAACTTGATTAAAAATAGGAAAGTTTCACCAAAACCTTTAAAAAAATGAGATAAATAGAAAAACAGTTTGTTTAACATCAAATTATATATATTACATATGAATAACCACTGTTCATTTTGCAGTTGTAGCTTTGCCATTAATAAAAATATTACATTGGTGTTCATAAGGTGATGTACATTCTAACAATGAAATAAATTAATACCCTCTGTGTAATATATAAACTGTTATATAACATTGAAACTATAGTAGGCCGTGTGATGTGTGTCATGTGTAGTCAATTTCAGAAATACCAGAAATTTTCTATGTTATCTCAGGAAAACAATACATACTTTTATATCTCACAAGATTTATTTACTATATAGCCTTATATGCTATATCATTATGTCACATGGCAACATCACTTGTCGGTTTACTCACATTGCTAAACTGCCCTCAGGTGGATACAGGGTGAGGGTTGTAGTTATGTTTAAGATGTCTAATTTAAATAGTGATTTGTTTGTTACATTAAAATATTTGTCACAATTTACTGAGGGTGATAGAACAAAATATTCACACAAAATAATGTCCACTTCGGCTAATGCCTCTGTTCACAACATTTACTTCTGGTAAACATTTCAATATAGTACTCTCAGTAAGATGTGAGGATATTGAATTAATGAAGATTTAATACTAAAGCTATTGAATGAGTTGAACAAAATCATATTATTATCATGCAAGCCTCTGGCAAGCATGACATTGGTTTTCTCAACCAGTTCAATAAATTTATTATTGAATCTACACAAATATAATATTATATTTATCACATATCTAAAATAAGAATGGTTTATAGTGTAACACTAACATCAGTACATTTAAATGCCATCTTTGTATATAATGCAAATGACGGTGTAATATTGTTTTTTATCAAAGGATTTATTTACTTTATTACACACCCACATCATGGTCTATGTGATAATATTATATTGTTAGTTATACATAAAACTGTATCCTAGAAATTTCATACACATGTACTTGGTGATACAACATTCAAGTGAAAAAAATTCTCAAAAGTCATGGTACCAGTTAAAATCTGCAAAATAACCCACAGATACAAACAATCTTATCAAATAGTTTTAAATTATTTCTTTAATATAAGTCACCACCTGTCATTGATAATAAGGTCACAACATGGAACAGATAAAGAAATATAGGTGTAGAATATTTAAGAGAAACAGAATGAACACAGATCTAGGTGAAAATGTCATACATAAAGTCACATGTTCTCTTTATCTCTAACAATAAACCTTGACAACGAGTTCTCCTGTGAACAGGTCATTTTCTTATCCAAGTCTTTGATTTGTTTTCTCTGTACAAGTTTAGCTGGAGAGTTCATATCAATGATACGTGTTGATAATGGGGAACGAGTATTCTCTTTAGTATTTCCGGCATTTTTCACTGGGAACAACTCTTTTGGCTGAGCTGCTTTTGTTTTTTTCTTCTTCAGTCTGACCTTATCTGTCATATCTAAAAATAGATAAAAAAATCTGTCACTACATGTATATATACATACAGATAACAGGAACATAGAAAAACTAATAATTTTTTTCATATATATTACACTATATATATTGGCAGTCAGAAACTTAAACATGTAGCCAATAAGAACCACCAACTTTCCAATTAGAGTCACCAGACACAAAGCTTACTCATATAGAACTTCTTTGAATTTATGAATGGTGGAAATTCACAAAATTCTAAAATGATACTTTTAGAAACAGCCAATGCTCTTTTCCTTAAATTATTATTTTTTTATTGTTTTCTTTCCCCTTAAATAATGAAGGAGCCAGGGCCTTTTATGATTTGTAAAAGACAAAGTGCCATTTTTCTTAAAGTTGTGAAACAAGAAACGCAATAGTTGTAAATAACTTGGAATATTATAGGGTATTAAAAGGTGACACTGCTGAATAGACTTTGAAATTCTGTTTTTATTAACTGTTTTGTAACAATCCTTAAATAATTTCTTTATATGTACTTTAATCCCTGGAAGAACGCGGAGTTTAACAGCTAGCAACTGACAAATTTTTATTTTGAGTATACCACCACTGGTAAGAATTATGACATCTCAGCCTAGAGAGCACTGTTGTATTGAACTCAGCCAGACATGTTAAAACACAATTAAACTCCCAGGAAAACTCCCATTGTTTATAATATTGGATACATACACAGCACACAGTTAATGCTTCTGTTTATATTAAATAACTGAGGTCAGATGTGACTTCAAAATCAAATTTTTATTATATATTTATAAATGAAATTTTGAGAAATATTGATGAAATAAAATGCGTATTTTCATTTTCCGTATTTTCACTGTAAAAATTTATTTTTCACTGCAGTGAAACATATTTTCCGTATTTTCACTGGTGTCTTGCCGGACTACTTTCTTTTAAATTCTGCCTGTACACAAAATTTAAGGGAAAGTCTTTCAAATTTTAATGTCAAAAAAGAGAAAAATGTATATAATAAACAGAAAATTCAAGTTTTTTCTATAAATACATGATTTATTTTCATCTTGTGGCATGAAAATTACCATATTTCACTCGTGGCTACTGCCACTCATGAAATATTTATTTTCATACCACTCGATGAAAATAAATCATGTATTTATAGAAAAAACTTGAATATCCTCTATCAACTGTTTTCTCTATAGGTTTAGCCATTTCAAGGTCTAATAACTTTATATAATTTGTGAGCAGTTTCCTCCTATTCTAACAACATTGTATTAAGGATACTTTCCCCAAATTTGAGATTTATTGTTGAAAAATGGATAATGAGTTAATTTGAATTAAATTGACCCCTACCAGAAATATTTCAAAAATCAGCTGCAATTGGAAATTTACATCTCCTGATTCATCTTAAAGAAAATCTTTGCCTTTCAAAATTTAAAATGATTACTATTTAGAAGACTGATCCTGCATGTAAAACTTCAACTAAGAAATGTCACAAATAGCTATAATTCAGTCAGTCCATGCTACAGTTATGGGCCTTGACTGACCTCATATTATGATCATGAAAACATGCCTTAAGTTTAGATGAAATACCTTCAGTAGTTTTTAAGAATCATTGATCTAGCGCACACAAAACTTTAATAATCTTGTAATCAGGAATTTTAAGTTCACAGTTTCATGAAAACAGGAAGATATGAATGACTGCTGTTTTCCATAGATTTTTAAACATTCAATTAAAATTTAAAGTAGCTATTTAAACACTCCTGAAACATTTTAAAGCAATTCTTTTCATTATGGTTATGGAAAAGTAGCTGGCAATGAAGCCTGCAGTATCAAAGTTACCTGCAAATTTTCTTCTGAATTTGGAAATTATAGCAAATACAAATTAATTTAGTATTTAAAAATATATGTTTTTTACCAAGCATCATCTGTTCATCAGGTACCAATCGAGTTGACTCGCAGTTTGGAAAGTCTTCGAGTGAGATATCCTCAATACCTGTAACACCTAATGTATCAGGTAAGTGTTGTACATGAGAATCATCTTCACATTCACACAGTGGATCTTTCTCTGTTTCATCATCATGATCTACTTTATCTTCTACTGACATTTCAACATTCACCTTCTGTACTGGAACTATAATACCGAAGTAAAACCAAAGCGGGTTATAAAACTTCATCTATTATGATTTACAAAAGTAAGGGTGAATTTCCCCCCCTCCCCTCACTTTACATTAATTTTTGACTTGCAACAATAGTTTCAGCATGTAACCACTTCTCACTCTTATAAAGTTGTTATCAGTATCTACATGTATTCTAGGATGCCTGATTGTGGCATTCATGTTTTTTCAAAGATTTCCAGTTGGCCTATTTGTTTACATGAACACCAAAACCAAAGGGAGGCAACTATAACATAAATAAAATAAAATTTTTGTTGAAAAAGTTTAGGGGTACAATTTTGTCGTCATAAGTAAATATTTTTATTCAAAGAATATCACTGGTTGAATGTTTTGGACAAATCATGTCATAGAAATGAATAAACAGGCGCTGATCAAGGAACATTCTGAAGAGATGCAGAGTACATTATTGGCACACCTTGTTTTTTTTTTAAATAACTGCATTTCTTTTAAAGTGAGGGGGGAAATTCGCCCTTATTTTTTATTTTTCTACAACTGACACTGTGTGATGATCATGTAAAAATTAGCAAGTAAATCTGAATTATTAATGTTGTCCTATTTTACACCTTGTCATCTTACTGAAACTTGAAACTACAAACTATAACTTGAATAAACAAAGAAACAGAATGACAATTAAAGTGCTTGGATGATTTCTGTTTCTTGGTTTTCTTTTCAACAGGTATGTCCTCCTAGCACTCCAAGGTCATTATGATAGACATATAGTAGCTGAAGTGTACTCAGAAAGTGGATAAAAACATTAATATACGGTATTGTATATATGATTATGGAATGCCGGTAGGGACATGCCACTTTGCTTATTTGCCAACTACTTAATTGCTTATTTGCTAATTGCTGATTTGCCAATTTGCTGATTTGCCAATTTGCTTATTTGCTAATTGCTTATTTGCTTATATACATAAATTTTTATGCTATTGTCAGGCGACACGTCCGACTCGCGAAGTTCTTGTTTGATATAAAATAACAAGTCTTTGTAGACTTTATTTCAAGCTCATGAACCTATATCATGTTATTATGTTTATAAAGTTTTGTTAATTATAACTTGTGACAATTATGATCAATCCATCGATCATTACCTAGAATATAGGTAGAAAGACAGATGGATACTTTTTAATCAATTTCGAAAAAAATAAATTCAGTTTCAGAAAGTAGTTGTTTTTTTTAAATTATCTTGAGTTTCAGTTTTAGCTTGCATACAAAGTACATGTACATGAAGAAGCTGTGCCCGTTATATACTGAATGTCAAGGTCACCAATGTATTGTACAAAGTAGGCTAGTAGCCTTTGTTTTTCTGTCATATCTCTGTTACTATTGCTTATATCTAACTGTAACTTCACATAAGCATTAAATAGGCAGCATGCATACACAATATTCATAGAGGCTTTGTCCATTATACCCTAGGTCATGGTCATGGTCACCTGATAGCATGTAAAATGTACAACACGAAGAAATGGAAAAGTGTGACCAAATTTCAAAAACATTGAACCAAAGCAAAATGTTGATGCACACACAGACAAAAGTGATCTCAAAATCTTACAGAGCTAAAAACGCAGCCTATTGCTTAAGTGCAAAGACAAACACCCGTGTTAAGCATGCACCAATTAATGTATCATTTGTGATACTATGTGTTCATACCACTAAAATGAGGCCCTCTGTGACAAATCTGCTGAGAATAACAACATTTTATATGCCATAAAATAAGAAATAGTTTTGTTTTCAAATTCTTTTATTTTCAATCTTTACCCAATAATTTTCACTTATATATGACTAATCAAGTGTTTATTATGCCATCAATCTCTGACTTAAGCTGCACAAACAGATCTATAGCTGCAACACATTATAAGGCATTCTCAAGCACAGATGCTGGCGGGTCAGATCCTGATCCTTACATGATACGCGTCTGTAAACACTATATCAAAACTATTTTAAATTTTATTTAAATACGAATTGGACATTTGTTACAACAATAAAACCATTAAGTATTTTATTGAGACTTGGTAGTATATGGTATTTTTTCATACCGGTATATGTAAAAATTGCTTGAAAACCAGTTTTAACGATGTCCAATTCGTGTTTAAATATTAAAATATTTTAAAACTAGAAATGTGTCATCATGCCACGGATGCCCCCGCATGCAGCCAAAATTTCAAATGTTATAATATTTAGTTCCAAATTTGTTTGCACAAATTATTTTTTTCATTCTAAGTTCAAAGCCCTTAAAACTTTTCAATGTTAACACAAACCATTTTTATACAATGTTCAAGGCACTGAAATTATTCAGTCTTAACCATTTTTATACAATGTTCAAGGCACTGAAATTATTCAGTCTTAACCTTTTAAAAATAGCATATTGCATATTTGTAGCCAACATAATGGCTATATACATTTCCACAAAAGTATGAGTGCTGAAACTGAAAGTTCAAAATTTTTCCAACATTCAGGAAAGATTAGTTGTCTAAAATCATTGAACCACGACCAAATTCAAACTTAAACTGCTTATTCCTAAGATGTATCTATATTATTTTCAAAGTGAAAGGGACATAACTCTGCCAAAAAATCATCGAACCATGACCAAATTCCAACTTGACCTGCACATTCCTTTGACATATCCATATGTCAATTTTGAGTTGAATATGTAACACTGTTGGGTTGATAATGAACAGAAACTGTAAATTTCATATCATTTTCAAAGTGAAAGGGGCATTACTCTGCCAAAAATCATTGAACCATGACCAGATTCGAACTTGGTCTGCGCATTCCTTTGACGTATCAATATGTCAAATTTGAGTTGAATGTGTAATATTGTTGGGGAGATAATAAACGGAAACTGAAAATTTCATATTATTTTTAAAGTGAAAGGGGCATAACTCTGCCAAAAATCATCGAACCATGACCAAATTTGAAATTGACCTGCGCATTCCTTTGACGTATCAATATGTCAAATTTGAGTTGAATGTTTAATACTGTTGGGGAGATAATAAATAGAAACTGAAAATTTCATATTATTTTCAAAGTAAAAGGGGCATAACTCTGCCAAAAATCATCGAACCATGACCAAATTTGAACTTGACCTGCGCATTCCTTTGACGTATCCATATGTCAAGTTTGAGTTGAATGTGTTGTACCATTGGGGAGTTAATGAACGGAAACTGAAAATTTCATATTATTTTCAAAGTAAAAGGGGCATAACTCTGTCAAAAATTATCGAACCATGACCAAATTTAAATTTGACCTGTATTTTCTCATGACATATCAATATGTCAAGTTTGAGTTGAATGTGTTGTAACGTTGGGGAGATAATGAACGGAAACTGAAAATTTCATATTATTTTCAAAGTAAAAGGGGCATAACTCTGCCAAAAATCATCGAACCATGACCAATTTCGAACTTGACCTGTATTTTCTCATGACATATCCATATGTCAATGTTGAATTGAATGTTTTGAACCGTTTGGGAGATAATGAACGGAAACTGAAAATTTCATATTATTTTCAATGTAAAAGGGGCATAACTCTGCCAAAAATCATCGAACCATGACCAATTTCGAACTTGACCTGTATTTTCTCATGACATATCCATATGTCAAATTTGAGTTCAATATGTGCAAGGGTTATTAAGATTATGAACGGAAACTAATGATGACGGAAAGACGGAATGACGGAACAGGGTAACACTATATGCCCCTGCCATTATATGGCGGGGGCATAAAGAGTGTTTACAGGGGCACGTATCATGTTGGGGTACGGGACCTGACCCCCAAGCGTCTGTGTTCTCAAGGACATGTCAGCCATCAGTTGTAGACATACATCTGCGTAGGCATCACTGCAACTAAATTCATTGACCAACAGTATTCTTGGAAAAACACTGAATTTACAAGAATGCTGTTGGTAAAAGTTAACAGATCTGACTCAACTTGTTGTCTGTAGTCAGATTTTCCATATTTTTCCGGCACAGTGTAAAGTATTTCTATTGCAAAAAAGCAAATTAGCAATTGGCAAATAAGCAAATACGTAAACCAGCGGTTAACAAATAAGCAATTTAGCAATTCAGCAATTGGCAAATAAGCAAATTTGTCGTTAAGACTATCAGCCATTAGCAAATAAGCAAATCGGCAATTAGCAAATAAGCAATTCAGAAATTAGCAAATAAGCAAATTGGCATGTCCCTACCGGCATTCCATAATATGATAGTAGAAAAAATGTTTCTCAATTATACCATTTAACAGTTATAACGCACCTCAGGGCTTCTTTCAGTTCCAAAATTTGGAAGTCAGAGACTGCAAGGGGCATCAGAAGCAGAGTGGTTTAGGTTGTTGACTCCAAACCACTTACCCCTCACCGCTGTGGGTTAGAATCCTGACAGGGACTTTTGATTCTTACATGTGAGGAAGCTATCCAGCTAGATTACGGAACATCGGTGGTTCTACTCAGGTGCCACTTCGTGCCTGAAATTATGCACGGAAGGGCACCTGAGATCTTCCTCCACCAGTAAAGCTGGAACGTCGCCATATGACCTATACTGTCGGTGTGACATAAAATCCAATCAAACAAACAAACAGAGACTGTAAAATCTCCGACACTGTAAGTCACATGATATAGGTAAAGAAGGAAAAAGCATTACGTTTTGGAAGTACAAAACTAAAATCAAGGAGTAAATTACTCCCAAACTTCCTCTAAAAGAAGCCCTGTAAGTATGATGACCACAAAACCACACAGACTGACACAGCACTCAGTGACAGGTAAAAATCATAATGTCTCTGACAATAATCACACGCCACTTGCTTAATATATAAATATAATACTAGAAACATTAAGTTTAAAAACCTGTTTTTGCAGTTTGAAGAGGTGCTAGTGGTGTGCGATCTATACCAACAGTAGGGGATCTGGGGTCAAGAGGGTCATGCAATGCTCCCTCTGGAGTTTTGTTCACTACAATAGGTGTTCTAGAGATCTCCTCAGATGGTGACCGTGGATCTAGAGATAATATTCTACTCCTGTTATTGTCACATTTAGGTGTTGTCACACTCACTGCTTCATGTCCATTACTGTTACCCATCTTTTACGTGGTTTTGCAAGTTAAGGAAATCTGAAAGAATAGATGTTCAAAAATAAATGGTTTAGAACTTTAGACATATATATATGCAGAAAAAGAACATATAATTTTCAACAATCAATGTACGTAATGGTCCTTCTTTTAAAAGGGCAGAGCAACACGTTAATAGCCACAGTTCTGAATGGCTGGAGAGATTTCTTGGGTTAAGAAAGTGGCTTAACTGGTTGTCTTAAATGTGTCTGTGCAGTGTTTCTGTAGCCACTTTAATTGCATATAATTTTTGCTAGAGAGACAAAATGGAGCACTTTAGAATCTGTCAGCAACAAAATCCATACCATAACAGGGCATTTTTTTCCTTCTGTAACAGGGGGTGATATAAGGCCCCTTCACAATTCAAAATTGCACTTTTTTTTCACAAAGAAGCTCAAAAAAGTTCACAATTTCAAAAGAGATTTCACAAAATATTGGGACTTTGTTTCGAAATACATTGTTTACCTTGCGGTGGAACTTGATTTATGCCAATTGCAATAACAGAATGAACAGGCTGTTACTCTAAGCATTTTCACAGTGCTACATGTAGTTTAATACTCTCTATCTTTTAATAATTCAAGCTTTTTATGTTGTAGATAGAATGATCTGGAAACACAATTTGTAAACCCTTCTTGCTACAATTAAACAGGTCTTAGTGTAACTCTGTATAGTTTGCATATACACAAATTATGTACTTAATATTCAAGAAAAATATGAAAATAAAATACAAGAGCAAAAATAAATTATTTTTACAATATGATGTTCTCTAAAAAAATTTTAACCTGTAAAAAAAGATAAATATTTCAGAAAAAAAATGTTTTAAATGTCATGATCTGTTGAAAAACATACATGTAGTTAGATTGCTTGTTCAGAATATTTGCTGACAATTGGTAGCATTGTGAAAATGCACAAAATTAAATATCAAATATTTGTAAATTACATCGTGAAATATTATAAAATCTTTACATGATGCCATTAAATAACATATTTTCTCTGTAAAATCAATTTCTATTTTGTCACTGAACAAAAATCTTATGAAACTTGGACCTATTTTCAAATATGAGTAGTAAATTTTTACCTAGACACCAGGAACGCTTTGTTCCTTTTTTAAGTAAAACTTGTAGGGGTGTCATCGATAAGGATTTTTGTATTGATAAATCGATAATGAATTATCGGCGATACAGCGAATATATCGATTGCCAGGCAAAATTAAGCTTTCAAGTCTTTTTTAATTTGTTTTAATATGCAGTTATATTTAAACACATGCAAAAAATATAAATAAACTATGAAAAGTGAACAATTTGTTTTTTTTATCATTATAACTTCTAATGACAACTAATGACTAGTAACTATAAAGTTTATAGCCTTTTCCATTTGACTTTTGTTGTTGTTGCTATTACGTAGTTACAGATTATGCTAAATCCCTTCCTTGCCGTTCCATAAGACTTAGTAAGCAGGGGTTTAATTGGCAAATTATTGTGTTTAGAACCTGAATAATTATTAAAGTTTAACATAAAATTACATATGTAATCATAATTTTTATAAAGAAAAATTTACAAAAATTTTCTTGGCATTTTCCGTTTTAAAAAATCTGAATTTTGGGTCTTGACCCCACTTAAGATTACAACGAAATTTGGCAGCATTCGTTAGAGACACTGGGAGGTAACTCTGGTGTTTATTTCCGTTTTAGTTTTAGAAAACAAAAAATTTGAAATATGTTAGTTCTGGCTTTCATAACTTTATAAATGTATGTCTCTTTTATTTTGATGTTTAGTCTATCAGTATTATAAAACCTGTTTGCTGAAGTCTCTTTAGTTAGAAATATGTGTGCATCCGATATTTAAAAAATGGAATCGATATCGAATCGGATAACAAAGATCGTTGATTGAATCAATTACACTCCTAAGAAATTGATAATGTAATGTAGCCAGGATTAGTTCTCAGTAATTTTTTTATCGATTTAACAAAAAAATCTTATAATTTGATTTTTGAACAGTGATGTACTTAGTCCAAAAATATGACGATGCTTTGAGATATTTTTGCTTCTGGGCAAAGCAACAGGCTTGACCGACATAAACTATAACAAGCCTCTAACATCGGATATATTGGTCTATGATGTACAATGCCTGATCACAGTCGGTTGATACCATTATCAGTAATCACATGACTCTGTGACATATTAAATCAATAATCATATGATTTATAATGGTACAGACTCTCGGACAGCGACGAATTATACTGTGCTCCTCTTAGTTCACGGTACCTAACGATTTGAAACCAGAAAGAAAGCAACAAATGAATTTTATGGTACATGAAAATATGCCATTACCGTGAAATAAGTGATGACGCGGAATTAGTGATGTTGAGTATACTCTCCAAATGCTCCAATAGCTTAGAGCCTAGAGACAATGCATGTTAATGAAATAGGCCTGTAGTTACTAGGCTGTAACATTTTTGGCCTTTCTTATAAAAAAGTTATATACAGGGACAATGATAGCTAAAGAGACTTCAGCGAACAGGTTTTATAGTACTGCTAGACCTATTCGCACGTCAAAATAAAAGCGACATATAAAGTTATGTAAGCCCAGTGATTTTCCTACTTATATAACAGACTCCGAAAAAGGGCTTCTTCCCAATTGAAATTTTCTTTAAAATCATGCAGTTTTCCCAAAAATCTGAACTTAACCCTGTTTTTTTTCTTCCCAAATAAGCAATTTTAGCCATAATTTTTCCCAAATTCAAGAGGCTAAGGCTTCTTCCCAATTAAGCAAGAAAAATCACTGAAGCCAGAACTTGGACAATGACAGCAAGCTTCCAGTCATATGGGACAGTATCCAGTCGAGAAAAATGGTTTGTTTTAGGCCTCATATTGTATTTCTGGTTTCAACGGAGTGAATCACAGATTTTTGAACTGCCTGACAGATGTGCTGTTCTCATCGCAAACAGGACGTTTACGCCCCAAACCAAATCGGTCCCAGTCGAAAAATCGGCCCCTGGACGTTTCGGCCCTTTTCCGCGAGACGTTTCGGCCCCACTACAGTGTATTGCTTGATTGATTAACAACAATTAATTTAATTACAATTAAACAATTTATATGACACTTTAATTCTTTGAATAATTATTTATTATCTTTTGATCTCTTGAACCATTTAGATATACGTTTATGTTTTTAAAGGTGTTACAAACAATAAAGGCCGGTTACTTACTTATAAAACAAACCACTAAAACTTCTTGATTAAGAAAGTTACTTACAATTTTTCCTTAGAAAACATTATCTTTTGATCTTAATTAAACTATACGTAATTTCTTCAAAGTGTAACTAATTAACTGTTTATACTTTATGCTTATTGGCAGTATTGTTTTGTGTCTTGCTTCTTAATCATTCAAATACAATATCATCTATATATGGTTTATAAATGTTTTTGTGTGTGTTAAATTTTTACAAATAAAGTTTATGTTCTGTTCTGTTTGTATTGATTACTTTCCCCCTACTACAATAATAATCTAGTTTTTATACTAAATGATTAAATATCAGGGTTCGACACTAACTGTTTTAACAAGGGATCCCAAAGGAATCCCTGAGATTTAATTCAGGGATTCCTCCTAAATGTCAGGGATTCCTCAGATCAAAATAGTAAAATATAAAGGCGAAGAATAACAAGGGAGTGCAGCAATCCGATTTCAAATTCTTTTTTTAAAGACCACATACATGAATTATATTGCCTTGTTTCAGATGCAGAAAATGTAGTTTATGAGCCCTTTGGGTTTTTTTGTTTGCTTGGATTTTTACGACATGTCAACACATAACTGGCCGTATGAGCCCTTTGGAAATATTGCTGTTTAAAGTTTTAAAAGTGTTTCAAAGTGTTTACTTTACTAGTATATAATAATTGTACTGCTAAGATAAATTAAAACATAATACATTTTTTACATGCACGTAAACAGAATAACATTATGCTCACCCACTGAACAAGAGTTCGATTTGAAAATAAAACCTGTTTTCTCCCTGGGGTTGATAATTGTGAACCTGTTTCTGTAAATGAAGGTATAATGCAAGTGCCCTGGCAATGGGACTTAGGGTTTGAACTTTTGAAGTTAAGTAGGAACTGGGGAAACATTTTTTCAGATAGCCTAGGGTTCACTGAAATAGAGCCAACATATCATCTGTAGATCTTTAAAAACTTACAGGTAATGATTAGGCTCCATACTCCTGTAAGTTCTGGTATGGATAACTTTTAGAAAATATTTACTTTCATGTCATTTAAAAAGAAATGTTTAATTATTGATCACTTTAAAAAAATAAGTGATTTTCAGCTTACTGTACACTTTTTGTGTTTAAAAGGAAATATCCCATAGATTGTTATAAATTAAATATTTTGTTGAATTTTACTAAAGCTAAAATATCAAGAAAAAAGTTTTGTTTTGCATTACAAGTAGGGTACCTTCAAATGATTTTGTTTTTAAAAGTAAAAAGTTGCTCCAAGTCCATGACAGGATGTGTAATATCCAAATTTATTGTTCTCAATTTTTACACTGAAATGTCCGATTCTTTTCCTCCCTGTGTGTATTGATTTTTTTTAAGTTTTGACATATGCCACATCAAAGGCACTCACCGCATACAGCAGTCACGTAGTTCAGAACACTGATTGGTCCAAAGAACTGTCAGATGAAATATACGTCATTTGGTGTATGTTTCACCTAAGGATTTTTCTTCTTTTTTTGTCGGTAAATTATGCGTGACCTTGATTGACCTTAGAACACTTCAGTCTTTAGTGAGACAATATTTTTTAGCATTTAAGGCTGCAGAGTTTCAAAAAGGATTTTAAACTGAAAAGTATGGATTCTTTTTATTTTATTTATTAATTATACTTTTGCTGTACTACAGGGAGAAAAAAAATACATCAGTAATCTTTTTGTTTTTTTTTCACTTTTTTTACGAAAATTTACAATGATCACAATTTAAATGCTGAATTATGGTACACAAAAAAAAACCAAACACGTACTTGTTAACTTCGTAGCTACCGCCGGCAACGCCGATCTGCACATATTTGAAGTGAAAAAAATTATACGATAATTATATTTTTTTCTTGAATTTTCACAACTTAATATTATGAAGTCAATGCATGATATAAAATTATTCAAGAATGTTTCTTGGGGCCGAAACGTCTCGAAATCTTCTCATCTTAGTTCACGATACTTAACACTTTTAAACAAGAGAGAACAAACAATGAAGCTTACGGTACAAAAATTGTCATAAGTTGTAACATATAGGGATTTCCTGCTGTATGACACAAGAAAACAATGATATATTCAGGCGAAATCAGTTTTAAAAGACCAGACATAGACCAGAAATTTTTGAAAACAGCATGTCATTATTTAAACTACGGTAAACGGTGTTAGACTATAGTTTTTTTCCTGTTTCAGTTAAAATTTAAATGTTATATTGGTCAATTTTTAACATTATTTACTTTGTAACTCAAAACTAAATTTTTTAAAGAGAGGCATCGCGAAAATATATGAAATTGTAAAATTCAGAACAAAAGTAGGGTTTAGTGAATCATGCTATGCATATCAATTGTTATTCAAATCATTGACAGAATAAACAACATATCAAAGCGTATACCTTTACGTATATGGTAAAATGAAACAATAATAATAAAAGAATTATTTACAATTTTGAACTTCCCGCTGGACCAATCAAATCAATTTATCAGGTTTTGTCTAATTTTCAGTATAGTAAATAGTAATCGCTGTCATCTTACTTTTTAGGTTGAATACCACTAACTTTTCCGAAAATAATTGTTCATTGTAACGACATTACAAATCCATCCATCCATCAAAAAAAGAGGAAAAAAAGAGCTGAGTGTGACTAGCAGGCGCGTTGTCAGTGAACTGTTAATAAAATACATTATTTATATGCAAATTTGTGATTTGATGAAAGAATAATTTTTTTTAGAAGACTATCAATTTAAAAGACATAGTGTGCAGATTAGAATTTGTAGAATGGGTCAAGCCTCTCGGTAAAGATGTTCAAACTGACGCTAGACTGAACAGTTACAGGAAGGCTATTCCAAAGACGTAACTATGCTCCTAGAAAAGAAAGAATTTGATGGTATTGTGTCCTCGAGAAGGGTATCAGGTAGTTCATATTTCTTGTTTGAGTAAGGTGTTGGTGGTCAACAAAGACAATGTTGTTTTGGATTTTATACAAGTAGGTTATAGCACATCAATGTTTCGACGCTGCTCAAGGCCAATTATAAAGAAGTATATAAAATAACTATTTTTAATATGAAGTTAAGAATATTTTATGATTTTTTTTTAACTTTGCAAGAAAACAGAATTATTTTTGTTAAGAAGTTAAGAATATCTTATGATCTTTTTTTAAAGTTTGCAAGAAAACAGAATTATTTTTGTTAAGAAGTTAAGAATATTTTATGATTTTTTTGCACGGGTTTGCCAATTACGTTCAGTTATCTTTTTTGAGACACTACTAGTATAGTCATAATCATTAAAATATATTGAGCAGCTGATCTTTGGACTTGCTGTATCTTATAAATTAAGTATTTCTGCCAAGGATGCCAAATTATGGAGCAATTAATATTTAACCTGAGGTTAAACATGTTTCCTTTATCTTTTTATTTGAGGTTTTAACATAATTATTTCTTCTAATGAATCTAAGAGAGTTATTTGCTTTAGATGTAATACTGTTTATATGTTTGGGTCATGAAAGGTCTTGACTAATAGTATTTTGCTTCTTGCGTTGAGTTATGTTGAATGTTATGGAGGGTATAAGGATAATTTACAGGGTTTCTTTTTCTTGTTATTCTGAAAGTCTAACCTTACATTTGACACTATCAGGAAGGTCATTTATGTAGGAAGACCTAATACAATACCTTGGGGACACCTGAGAGGATTGGTAGAATTCTTGACTTTTTACCTTCAAGTACTACTTGCTGGGAGCGAGACCTAAAGGATAGACCCAATTTGTAATCTCGTGACTTATGCCCAATCTTTCCAATTAACTCACAAGTTTGTGATGGTCCACCTTATCAAATACTTTACTGAAATCGATGACTATGACATCAAGTTTTTGGCCACTTTCAAGATTGTCATGAATTTCCTGGGAGAAGCTTACTAGCTGGGTCTCACAACTACGTTTTTACCTGTCATGTTGATAGGGGCTAAGAATGTTGTGCTTATCATAAAAAGGACATAATATTGGACACTAAGATGTGCTATATATATAGATGGACGCTATACATGTGGGGAGAGATGTCTATAATTGCTGGGTTTGCATTTTTGGCTTTTTTGTAAACTGGGGCAATCATAGCATGCTTCCAGTCTTCTGGGACAATACCTGTTTTTAGTGAGATCTGAGATGTGGGTCAGTATATGGGAGTAACCTCTTGATGGAGCTCTTTTAGTAGCCGAGGTAAGTCTTTGATCAGGACCAGAAGCTTTATTTGGATGTAGACCTTTTAAAAGTTTCTTTACACAATCCTCCGATATAGACACTTCTGGCATAGATACGTGGTGGTTTGGTTTCATTATCCCTCATGTACAGACTCAATCAAACCGAGTCTGCAATTCTTATGTTATTTTGTTGTGATTAATGGTTCTGAGGGATCACTTTTTTTTCCTGAATTTTGGAATAAGCATTGTGAAAATTTACCATCAGAAATGACGTGCACAGCATTTTTCATAATTGCAAATATAACTTCGGATGACATGTGCGACTTGAAATCAGCTACCAAAAATTAAAGACGTATTTAATGCCTTCCGACAAGTGAGAAGTGGCAATTAGCACTGCCACAAAATTTAACTTTTACAGCAAAATTATGATTCCGACATACTTGTATGATGATCCTGGTAAGAATTTATCTATTTCATTAACATATTTGTAATATCGTATCCCTTTCAATTGGCGAATTTAAGGAATTGTGTATTAGTATTATTTTGTCAATCAGTTAATTGTATTTCCCTTGTATTTTGGTTGTAGGTTGTACGTTTCTATAGGTCTCGCGACAATAAAAGAATGAACACCTAGAAGACTGCCTTTACATATATTTGCTTTCACACAGACGTGCCCATGATTGTAATAATGCCTTCACTTTGACTTTTCCAGGATTGTTATTACGGATTTTAATTATACATGCACACTGCATTGCCCAGGATAGTTACTATGCCTTCAAATTGACTTGCCCAGGATTTTATTTTGCCTTCACATTGACTTGCCCGCAATTTTAATTATGCATTAACACTGACTTGCCAAAGATTGTAGTTATGCCTTCACACAGTAACTTGACCGTAATTATAATTATGCCGTCACATTGACTTCTCCAGGATTGTAGTTATACTTTCACACTGACTTGCCCGGAAGTTTGATTATGTCTTCACATTGACTTCTCCAGGATTGTAGTTATGCCTTCACACTGTCTTGCCCGGAAGTTTGATTATGCCTTCACATTGACATCTCCAGGATTGTAGTTAAGCCTTCACACTGTTTTGCCCGGAAGTTTGATTATGCCGTCACATTGACTTCTCCGGGATTTCTTTATGCCTTTACACGGGCTTGCCCGGAAGTTTGATTATGCCTTCACATTGACTTGCCCGTAATTTTAATTCTGCCTTTATACTGACTTGCCCAGGACTGTAGTATTTCCTTCACACTGACTTGCCCGGTAGTTTGATTATGGCTTTACATTGACTTGCCCAGGATTTCTTTATGCCTTGACACTGACTTGCCCGTAATTTTAATTATGCCTTCACACTGACATGCCCAGGATTGTAGTTATGCTTTCATAGTGACTGTCCGCACTTTTGAATTAAGTCTTTACATTGACTTGTCCGGGATTAAATTATTCTATCATATTAATTTTCCGGAATGGTTATTGCTGTCACAGACACTTAACGGTATTGTTATTTTGCCTCCACCTTGACTTTCCCGGGGTTATAATTATGTCTTCACCTTGACATGCCCAGAATATGAGATACTTTTTATCAAGTTGTTTAATCTGTCATTGATAGTCTGTCACCTGTGACTAATGTTGTACCTTCACATTGACTTGCCTGGGATGATAACTATGCCTTCACATTGACTTGCCCGAGGTTTATGTATCCGTTCACATTGACTTGCCCGTGATTGTAATTATGCCTCCACATTGACATGCCCGAGGTTTATGTATCCGTTCACATTGACTTGCCTGGGATTGTAATTATGCCTCCACATTGACTTGGTTGGGATTGTAATTATGCCTCCACATTGACTTGCCCGAGGTTTGTGTATCCTTTTACATTGACTTGTTCGGGATTGTAATAATGCCTCTACATTGACTTGCCCGGGATAGTAACTATGCCTTCACATTGACTTGCCCGAGGTTTATGTATCCGTTCACATTGACTTGCCCGGGATTGTAATAATGCCTCTACATTGACTTGCCTAAGATAGTAACTATGCCTTCACATTGATTTGCCTAAGATTTATGTATCCGTTCACATTGACTTGTCCGGGGTGGAATTATGCCTCCACATTGACTTGCCCGGGATTGTAATTATGCCTCCACATTGACTTGCCCGGGATTGTAATTATGCCTCCACATTGATTTGCCTAGGATTGTAATTATGCCTCCACAATGAATTGCCCGGGATTGTCATTATGCATTTACATTGATTTGCTATTTCAGAATATGAATACTGCAAAATCTTATTAAGGCAGAACGCGACACTGCCAACTTTCGTGAAGTGTTTTGAAAATTGGCATGTAAAAGGTTGACCATGTTTCAGATTAGATTCTGTTGATTTTGTTTCAATAGTTTCAGCAAAATTTTGTACACATGACGTCAAAAGTGACCATTAAGTCCTGTTTTTGAACATGACGTCATTGCGTATCATTGGCAACTGTTACGGGTATCACAACGGCATAAGCGTACAAAGTATCTTAAATCCTACAGTATTCGACAGAAATCATTTTACCTTTAAGCTCATATAAAATATATCGTTTTACGCCGAAAAATGTTTGAAAAATGGAAAGAAAATTGTCGTTTTTATTTGTTTGGGTCGTCAGACCAAACAAATAATGGTAGCGAAATTTCAGACTCTTATGCTGTTAATTGCAAGTGCCGAAAGTAGTCCGCTTTTTTGAAGCGGTTACTTCCCTTTATATGTAACACTTAGGCCGAAAAATTTAGGGGAGATCACTGCGTAAATATGGTCACATGACAGGCGGATTAATTTTCAAGCAAAATAATTCCCGAATGGTCAAATATTTCTAATATTGTTTTATTCTTTATAGATATACATGCTTATAGTAAGCGCCATGATTATTTACACAAATGTTAAACAACAGTTAGCGTCGTTACAAACCATAACTAGAATAATATGGCTTTCTTCAGGCCGTTAAGATGTAAATCCACCGTGGCCGAGGGGTTTGCGCGCTCGATTAGGAAGCGAGAGGTCTGGAGTTCAAATCCTAGTTAAGGCAACTCATTTTTTTTTCAAATTGTTTAAGTCAAATAAACATTGGATCGAATATCAGTGTTGCAATAAGTCTTATAGCCAATCTACTACAATTAAAACGCTGGAAAGCATTGGTGGCACTATACAAAAACAAAATGTTTTATAATCTCACAACCTTCACCTTTCTGACATTCTGAGACCCAAACAAATTCAGCGCCTTCTGTGCTTTGATTTGTAAAATTTGGCGTTCAGTTTAGCCACATTTTTCGGCTTTAAAGTTGCTATTAAAAATCCTGAAATATTTTTTTGATTATTTTTCTTTAAATGTCTTTTAAAATGTATACTCAGTCTAAATGACGAAAGCTACTTGTGGCATCAGGTATTTCTATTCTTAATTAATATTGAAGACATTAATTTCGTTTTGTGATATTTCGTTTTTAAATAAGTAGTTTACATTAACTTTGCAAATGCTACTGTGACTTTAACAGCTAATTCGTATTTCAAAATCAATCATTATACATAACTCTAAACGTACGCATTTGAAGACACAAGTTTTATTTTCAAACACTTGCTACACTGATTTCGATATTATCCGACAATGATTTGTTGGTTGCCGTTGTGCACTGTACAATTCCGGTTACAGAAATCTCCAGTACAACACGTTTTGCAAATCGGAGTTGACCTCAGTTTACGTGCTCTTTCGTTTCCATGACAATCTTTACCATCAACACAATTCTGTCTATCCACGCCAAACTCCAATATGTCAGATTGATCCGCACCCTGACCGGTCCACAATGCACATTCCTAAAATATTCAAACATTTAATGTTTAATGATAGACAACGACTTAGCATTTCAAGAAAAATCGACCGAGTTCAATCTTTAAAAAAATGTTCCACGAGCGATGATGACATGGCATTCAATAAACCATTTCAATATTTCACAACCTGGCTTCTTCACTGAAAGATCTTGCAACAATAATTTCTATACTTACATTTTTTGGTCTGCATCCTAGATGATATATTGAGTTTGCACCCCATGGTAGTTCTTCGATATGGCAGAACTACAAATTATAAAATAACTAAATGAGCAATTATTCACATGCTTATATCCAAAGAAATTAATGTATAGACATATCTGCTGAATATTTCTCCATTTAGAGTAATATCTTTACAGTTTAAATCCTGTCACTACTGATGTTTACCTTAAATCAATCACTTTCGAAATATCTATGTAATTCAACATGTTCAATTCTATAGCAAGAGAAGTCATGTACATTGTAGTTACAAAATGATTTTTGGCTTCTAATATATTCAGCATATACCTCATCGCCCGCACATATTGTGACCTTATCGCAGGCTTGTGGATTACTTGCAAAACTACAATCAAGACAAATTGGACCGCGTGTTTCTTTTGGTGGAAAACCTGCAAGAAAACTCAAAATATCATATATATGTCCTGTCATATAGGTGTTCTGTCATAAATGTGTTCTGTCATACATGTGTTTTTTATACACAACGCTTGTTTCATAGCTTCAATTTACTTATCATTTTAGTCGCTGAAGTTTTTATGGACTTGACTAACTGTACATGTGTAATATCAAGGAATTTTACTAATAAAGAAAAGCTATTGTTATTTAAAGAGTCTAGACTCTCCACACTTTAAGAAGATTTCTGTTTAAGGTTAACATAATGTAATTATTTATACAGCACATATCAAGATTTATGCTATTTGTTTGGTCAAAATTAAGAACGTGAAAAACATCGTCAAGAAATCAAATGAACTTTTTTAAGCCTAATACATTTATTTTATTGAAGTATGCGAAATTATTCAATATTTCGTTAATCGATGTGGTAGAAAAATTATCCTTAAATCATTTCGTATAAAAATAGAAGGACGAGAAGCATGGATAATAGCACACCCGACAATAATGAAATGAAGTCCCGGGGGACTGAAGTTCAATAATGAAACCAACTCCCCGCCTCATGCTTTAGCAAAAATTATAACCTAAGCAAGGCTGGGAAAACCTTCCTGGGTTTTATAGTAAATATTTTCAAATTCATCTTAATATATGTTTAAAAGATTGACGATTATTTTAAAGAAAGAACACATTAAAAGATTGGACAATGTGGGCTCTCTGCAAACTGTTTATTTAACAACATTCGAATACTTTTGTAATGTGATGAAGTTTGGAGCGAGGCAATGTTGATCCATTTTATATATATTTATGCAATGATAGTTTAAACATATATTACTGAACATGGTAAAATGCAATTTTAGAGAATTTCAACTGATATGCCTTTTACAAGTTTAGGATCAACCTTGAATTATTAGGTATTTTTATACAAGAATATGGTTTTGAGCTTTGACAATTTTGTGATCCAAGCTTAATTTTACTGTTCATATTTATAGCGCCTGAGTTTCTATATGTTATATATTTTATGAAGCTCACCTGTATCACCACATCCACGAGAATTACAGAAACTGTCATTACAACATTGTAAACAGACGTCATTAGATGTATGGGAATGTATGTGATCATAGTTACTGCACACCTGTAATTTACACCCACACTTTGATATATCAAAAGACGTAGTGTTAGTTGAAATTCGTACTTTAGTTACACACTAACCTTGATTACTACTTCAAGGCCTTATCAGTACTGAGACCTTATCTAACAAAGCTCCAGCCAAAGATTTCTTTGGGTGCATAAACCTTTTCTATATAACAATCGCTTTTGAATTTTGATGTCTTATAATAAGTTACTGACCTTGTTAATAACACCCTATATTTTAACATTTTTTCTTTAGTTATAACAAAATTTACTTAAATTTATATAGCTTATCATCAAAAATTTGATGCTGTATGTTAAATGTTGAATATCAGATCAAATATACTCTCAGTAAATCGTACTTGTTCATCTGTACATCCGGACGTGAAGTGTACGTGTCCGTGTGTGTCAGTTGTTTTCTTCAGAAAACATTTCTGAAAAGGAACAATAAAGTTTAAATTCCATGAAATATTCATTACATTTTTTCTTAATATGCTACTCTTCTCACATTTTCGCACTTTAAACACATTATTACGTTTTATTTACATTAAGCATGCGGTTAACTAACTTTAAAAATCTTTCAACTTTTGACAAAGGCATTTAGACTAAGCAAAACACTGTTTTCAGTTAAAGGATATTTGTACGTGCCCTTAGAGAAAAACAGTTAACACGATACCTGGTTAGATGCACATGTTTGTATACTATCACAGTAAGAGGGTGATGTTGTGTAGTCACAGTCAAAACAGGTCAATTCATGATTTGTAGGAGCAACTAAAGCTGTAAAAATGAAATGTAAGACAATATTTCATGATTAATATATATCTATCTAATACCGCTTTCTACAAATGCCAAAATTAGTGTCAAATATTAATTGAGGATCAAAATATAACCCAAATTCATGGTTCTTGGGATTGAAAGGCAGACTCGGAAACCACTTCACAACCGTAACCTTATATAAATAATAAATCAATTTCAAATTAGGAGAAAAATATTCAGTTACGCCATTTTTCAAATAGTATTAGATTTGATAAAATGGAAAAAAGCACAAAATGACATATTAAAATTAAAAAAATATAAAAATGATAGAAATAATTATAAAATTTACCTGATTCACAGTATTGACCGGTCCAGCCAGAGTTACAAGAGCAGCTGAAATAATCATTGTTCGCTCTACATATTCCACCGTGTAGACATGGTCGACTTGCACAAACATCTAGGCCTAGTCGGATATAAGTGGTAAATATTTAGTTTTACATCATTTTAGTACCTATTTAACCTTTCTTAATTTTTACAAAATATCTTGAAAGTATTTCAATAGGTGTAAGATATCTTTAAAAGGGAATTTTGAACTCAAATCTTATTAAGGGTCAAGACGTGTTGATGTTAGTGGAAAATGTATGCACGATTTCGACTATCAGTTAAAACATGTAACATACATGTACATTCTTTATAACAGTCATCGTTTTTCAAGTGTTTTGAATGAAAATAGTAAGAAACTCCTGTCTCCATAAATGTTTCCTTTATTTAATATTATATGTAAGAGAGAACATGAAAAACTAACTTACTGCGTTCACAAAATTGTCCCGTGTATCCGTAAAGACATACACAGCTTCCGCCATTCAAGCATGAACCACCGTTGTAACATGTAACATCTTAACAGAAAATATGAAGCGCGTTATGTACTTAAATTGAAGCAACGGACTTACATTTGATGCTTCCAAATCAATCAATCAATCAATCAAGCAAGCAAGCAAGCAACTAATCAATCAATCAATCAACTAATCAATCAATCAAGCAACTAATTAATTAATTAATCAATCAATCAATCGATAAATCAATCAATCAATCAATCAATTTTGTTAGTAAAACATATGCATATAAATGTCGGCATAGTCGAAAACACTCCATATTCGTTAAAAATGTACTTAAAAATGTATAATGAAAATTGTCCAAAGGAGACGGTGGCATGACGATATTTACCGGCAACAGTCGATTGTCTGCAAGTTGTAACATAATTGCGTAATAAAATAATCATGGCGTCGTTAACTTCCCTTTTCGAAAAGTAATAACATAATCATATCACGTTTTAACAAACCGTAACACACACCCATACACACCCACACACCCACCAACACACGCGCGCACACGCACGCACGCGCGCGCACACACACACTCACACACACACACACACACACATATATATATATAAATTGTCAATACCAATACATGCTTTCTGTTTCTCAAATTCTGCCATAATACTTACTTTTTGGAATTGAGAATGTAAACCCCAAGTTGTGTCCAAATCCAAAATGTTGTTTCAGACCGTATAACAATGCTCCAAATTTGACGTTTGTAGATTTGTGTTTGAGAACATGGGAACCTGGTTTGATCTTTAACGTAATTATACTGTAAAACACATAACATACTTAATGTTTTCTCTCGTTTAATAAAGTCTTAATCATAATTATTATCATTTTCATCATTATTATTATTATTGTTATTATTATTATTATTATTCTATAAAACACATAACGTTATTATACTATAAAACACATAACATAATTTTACTGTAAACCACATATCGCATTTTTAATGTAAAACACAAAATTTACTGTAAAATACATAAAGTAATTTTACTGCAAAGCACATAACATAATTTCACTGTATAACACATATTGTAATTTTAAACATATAACGATATATTGTTTAAGTAGATATTTACTCAAAATTGTTGAATAGTGATCCCGGTGACCATTTTCCTTCTAATAGATAATCTGTGATGTTCCTGTTATTTAACAGAAGACCACCATAATGTCCCTGTCCTATTGTAATAGTCAATCTATAGGTGAACCCTCTATCTGCAAATGGTGTGCCAAACACATAATCATTGCTGAAATGGTTAATTGCCGGTACAGAATTCATGAATGCATCGCCAGCATCACCTCTTTCTGTGAAACCATATTGTACGACGTTAATCGGTTTGTCTGATAAGATCACAGTAGGTTCTGTTCCCATCAACAGCTCATCCATATCTTTTATATGTAATGTCCTAGAAGTATTGTTGTATAGATATTGAACGTTTGCACCCGTGTTGTTGTAAGTCTTGGAGTAAAGGCGGATAGAGTAACCCGATTTAGGTATTAGCGGAGGGACAACAAATGCCGTTCCCCAGTACTTCACAGGTATTGGTGAGTCAAACAGTATATCGCAATTATAAGTATTGTTCTTTGGAACATATGTGCACCTATTTCCGACAACAACATTTATAGGGCTACTGCTCACTACATATGCTTGTTTAGGATCCTTGATTGATCTCAAAGTGTAACTCTCAAATCTTGATATGGTTGCATTCAAACTCGATTGAGGTGAAGTATAGTTATTCACAACGATAAACGAACTGTTATAAGGGCTCGTGATCTGAACATAATTGTAGCCATATCTGAAATTAAACATTGAAATCTATATATCATTAAATGCCATTTGTTTAAACGAGTTTAGATGTGGTGAGTTTATCACATTCTAACACGACCCGTATATTTTCCTGTTGAAATGTGTGTAAACATGCACAAAATCACTGTTAGACATTAACATGTGACGGGCTGAAAAATATATCCCCAGCAGTGATTGTATCGCTTTATAAAATTCACAGTTTGTCGTTCGGATGCGCAGCATTTTATAATTCTTCGCATCCGAACTCCAGGCAGTGATTTTATTTAGCGATAAAATCACTGTTGGGAATATATTGGTTCTTAACTGTTTGCAATTGTCTGCCTAATCATCTGGATTGTTTTTCAAAATTATTACACAGCAGTTTAATTATTATTATTTTTAAACGGATTTTGATTCTAAAATATATAAGATCTTTGAAAAGCTATGCAAATCACAAATTCAAACTAAATTTAATATGTACCCCTAATCTTTACCAATTTTTTAAAGTAAAAGTTATTGCTCTACACTTTAGAAAAATTGATTTTAAAAGATATATTCTGTTCTAATATGTGTATACCCATAACCGTATGATGGTATTGAATACTCATTAGACAACACATCAACTGGAAAGGCGAGAAACGATGCTGCCACACTGGGAACATAACCAGTTATATGTACAGATATATCAACAGAAGAACGTATCTCTAAACATCTAGTTTGTTTACCGACATCATACTGACGTATTTGGCGTCCTTGCATGTAATGAAAATCCGCTTCTCCTGTTAAAACAAGAAATTAACTTTCAACATTGATTATTCATTTGCTTGTAAATGTGTAACTTATCCATCGGTTGATGGTAACTTTATTAAACAACAATGACATATTTAAGATTTCCTTATATTGGCCCCCAAAATTGTATGTATGAGAATTATTATCCGTTTTTGAGAAGGAAGAGGGTCGTAATTTTCAAAATTTACGTATACAAGTATTTTGGTTGACACTTGATGAAACGAAGTAAAACATTATGTTAAGTGTAATAACCTTTTCTAGTCGTCGTGAAAATTATAAAACATCTTTGAATATAATATTGATAACATTAAAGCCTTATAAAATTACATCCGTATTTTCTATTTTGTTATCATAATATACCGCTACTTAGAGATTACCAATTTTCTTAATTAAATGACAACCAAAACTTTCAAAAACCTGGTAACAGAGTGTAATTTCCTATCTGTAATGATTGGGATCCATTTATTAGTCTGACTACAGCATAACCATAACTTGAGCTGGAAATACTTATTGAAAGGTTAAACACTGTGACAGTCTCAAATGGCGGAACCGTCACTATGAAATGCCGACCTTTTGATGCTTAAAATAAAACAATCACAATCGTTGATAAATACAACGTATAAAGAGTATAATCTTTACATCTCTATCTTAATTCAATCTCAACTAAAAGAGTGTTCTTTGTTAAATATTTGTAACATTGACTAATAAACATAGTGCAACATTTATTCAATATATCATAAATGATAACAATATGTATCTATTTTTATCCGAAATTTAAATTTAAAATCTGATCCGTAAATAAAAAGACTCTAAGAAATATGTCTCTCTTACTAACAATGTATATTTGATTCATTTTGAAATTAATGCAATTTTTTTTAGTTTCCTCAAAACATGGGTTACTGAAATTTTGAAAATTGTAACATGGCCTTAGCTCTATATTATTCTTATCTAAGATATACATGACTGAAAATAGAAATTCGTGCTCTCTTGTATCATATGACATTTTATCATCGTTATACTTGAAGATGTTAACCTATAACTAAATCATAACTTAAGTTTTAAAACTGATAACAAATGTACTATTTAATGTATTATTTATTACCTACAGATCATTTTGTTGTGAATACATGTTACAATTATCTAATCAATACTTACATACATTTTCTTTGCAAACTTGATAGCTAAAGCCAGAACCAAATAAAGTTACCTGCAAAAAGAACACTTTTATCTGTATATCTTTTTTTCTAAGAAAATGTAATATCAATTAAGAAAAAAAAATTCCATTAAATTCTGACGTTGACTAAGATTTTATGTACCGACAGGAGAGAATTAAAACGTAATACATTTGATAAATTTTACGCAATGTAAGTAGAAAAATGTACTTAAGAGTCGACTATTGCATTGTTCGCACTAAGTAGAGCAAGAGCAAATGCTGTAGTACCTCCTATTGAAGCCTTTTCAACTGACAGAACCTTTTTATGGCAATGAAAATATGGATATCTATCTTATTAGACCATAAAGTGTTCGCCCTAAAATATATATTTATTAAACTCAGAGAATGTTTCTATTTCGGTTTAAATCAAACAAGTTTAGTGATTTTATTGTTTTTGTCATCATTATTTTTTAGTTATTTCTTGATGTCAATCTTATTAGCCAAAGAAAAGACTAAAGTTATCTGATTATTCAGGCGAAAGAAGGTTGGTATGCATTTCAGTGATATCTAAGTCATAAGCTTTAAGGTTGATAATGCCGATCGCTGATTTAGTTCATAGTGGTACAGGTGGGGTTGGTAAGCTTCCTTCTCTAATAATTTAAAAATATTTCTGTGCCCTGGGGTCGGATGTGACATATTTTTCTATTATATAATGTTCCTTTTTTACTTGTAATCATTATTAAATTCAGTTTCCAATTATTCATCTTTAAGTTGATGCCACAACACTTACGCATCAAGTTCAATTTTCAGTTTTTATACAGTTTCATGATTCATATTTACAACATCAATAATTAACCGATTATAATAACAGTTATCATAATGCACATCAGAAAACTGCGACACCTCGCCCCATTAAGAAACGTTCTCATGTTTGCTGTCTGACCAATAATTTTACCTTATGTATTATATTATAATCATTATATTGTCATCATCATTATAAATATGCGTTCAATAATTAAAAGATAGAAATACAATCTACAAACAAGAAATTATTAAATCAACCAATGATTTTCAACAGCTGAATCACGTAATTTAAAGTGTCATCATTGATAAACAGTCAAATCCAATCCAGATAATTGCGGCACTCTTACATCCGATAAATAACTTTCAAATAAATATCTTGATAAAAATGAAGATTATAATCTTCTTGGTATAGATATGACGCAAACGTCACCTGCCTTGACCAAATTATAATAAAAGTGTCGGTCAGCCGCATTTAGTCAGCCGCATGGCTAATAGATAATTTCCATATGTCTGCATTTGATTAATTTAAATAAAATAAACGTTTACATATGAAATCAAGAAAACGTAACATTTTATTAAAAGTACTTAAAAAACAACATTATAACAGCTTCATTAGTCTACATATATAAAATACAAGTTAAATTTACTTACCGCACTGACGAGAACAAATATAATTAAATACTTGTCGAACTTCACCATTGCACTCATCATGGCATCTACATGGAGGCTAGAACTACGATTGTATGAACAATCTCCATATGTCATAATGAATGTGATAAGTAGTTGAATTGGCACACTTTTGATAAGGGATAAGCAAAACATCAAAATTTAATAGCCATAAATGTAGGATTAAAACTACATTGACATTGTAACTTGAAATAGAAATGACACATTTGTGCAAGCGTAGTTCAGAGCGTCTGAATTTACAATTTTGATTTCCTTCTTGTAATTTTGAAAAATGACGTTTTCTTTACCATTTTAATCCCATCAGTCATATTTTGATGACCTATTACCTATTAATTCAAAGTGATTCAAACAATCATAATCATACAATCATAAAATGACATCCTAGCTTTGTCAATGTGTAAGTATGGAATGTCACATCGTTAAGCCAAGGAGCACAGTTCTCATTGCCTTTCGTATGCAGAATGTCTTTTAACTCTTTCTATATGGATATTGTGTAATTCAAGCTCGTCCGTGAAAATGTGTCTATTTCGGATAATTGTTTTATAACGGAATGATACACAAAAGAATAGATTATAAATAGCTTTATGCAAGTGATCCGTAATTATGTTGCTATTTTTTTTTTATTATATTTTGCGCATATGGATCTCCTCAACATATATGGAGCTCAAATGCAATTTTGACGGCGATTTCTTCGTTTGTAGCTAAATGTCAATAAATGTTTAAATTTTTTTGCATGTTAAGCATCAGTCTGTAGGGTGATTTCGTAAAATTTCTGTTTCTAAGTCCGTTTAGTGACACTTTCTTCATGTTTTGGACACACCAGAATCCAAGACGGAAAGAATATCTCGAAGAAGACTGAATAGAAATCCAAAACAAAAATGGGTAATATAGGGGGGGGGGGGGGGATTCAGGAGGGTAGAATCACATTTCGACTTTCTTAAAAAAAGGTCTGAATTTTATATAACTGTTTAAAAAATTGAAAACTTACCCTGCAATTGACATATTTTCTCTGTCACATCTGGTTTTATGCTTCACATCTGGAGCAGCGGAAAATTACATATACTTTGTACCTATGCCAATTCTTGAGATACATATGGGGTTCCACACCCGTGCCTAAACCATGCATCTGAGCATTCGATCGTTACCAGTCAATACATACATACACAGTGTGTCAACTGGAGTTCCGGTATAAGTTACCTGAACTCCAGAGCATACCATACCCATTGATTGGCTCTTTTTTTCTTGGGTTTACTTTTTGTGACGACAGAGAAAGGAATAACGCTAGAGTGTCACATTCAGATGATCGTTCATCGTACCTTTTTTCTTACTGTTTATGTATTATGGCGACGGCAATGTTCATTTTCAATCTTAATTCTTTTGATTTGACAATTATATGAAACGATTACAAACTCAAACTTTAGAAAAGTTGAAGGCCAATTTAGTGCTACGTGTTTATCTAATTATTTTGACCATTGATCTCGTTACTTTTCTCATCACTACATAAGGAGTGACTATCATAATCTGACCCTTGATTCCGGCGATAAGAAAGCATATCATAGAGTACGTATGAAATTGAAACTTAGATTAAGTAATCATCAAATATTTGGCCTTCTGATTTAAAGCTGCATGCCTCCAAATGAGTCAAAACCTTTTTTTTAAGTCAAACTTGAGAAAACTGTCCTCACATTTTAAGGAAAGTAACATATCTAAGATTAAAGAAATAATTCACTAATGGATGTGTGCGATTTATTACAGATTATGCAGTATTAATATGCGTGGTTTATACAGTTAATGCTATATTTGCATATTCGGCCTTTTTGTAAATAATGTAGATTGTGCCTTTTTTCAGTGTGTGGGTTTTTTTTCTTTGTTCACTTTACAATACTTTCCTTTTAAATACATTTTCAAAAAATTATATGAAAATTAGCATGAAACTTGTGCTGCTTTAAACTTTCACTATCAACCCCTACCAAATCATTTAAAATATGTATCAATGTTATTTTCATCAAACTTAATTCTATTAAGAATATTCTCTCATACGATTTTATTTAAAAAATATGCTTACTAAGTCTGAAAGTTATGTTGATAATCAAATATACAGAACTTAAAAAAGTATGCCTGTTTCTCACGTCAGAAAGTTTCTAACTTTAGGTGCCGCGATAGCTCAGTTTGTTAGACCACTGACTGTCACTCCTGAGGTTCCGGGTTCGATCCTGGGTAACACCCTTGGGATTTTTCAGAGACACTTTCAGTGTTTCCCACCTACCTAGAGGTTTACTGGTAAGAAATCCAGATAATTCTTGCATGTATCAGTGCTTTACACTGGGCAAAAGAACCAAGGGATCTATTCAATAAGAGCTAGGGACTGGTTCCCGGACTCCCTTGTATCTCATAGCTGTCACTAGAGTCTGTTGAAGTAAGGACCCTACCGGAAATAAGTGCTTGCACTTTCGTAGATTATCCTTGACCGCAAGGTCTAAAGAATCAATCAATCAATCAATATATATTAACTTTATCAGGTTGTAAGTACTTTGATCAAATATAACCTTCTTATCAGTTGTTTATGTGTACTTTCCAGTTAAACTGGCTGTCTCTTTTGTCCAAGCATAATCATTATTGTCTAAGGTACACACATACAATGTAGTTTCTGAACTTATGTAGGCATACCATTTATACATGTTATATCTGGGACCGGAAGCCCTTAAATAAACAAAAATAGGATTTATCATTTAACCGGTTTTGTACACGTTAGTAAATGTATCGCCTATTTTGTCATCATTTTGATGTAAGAGCCAAGATCTACCTTCTTGTCAATAATGTTATAACATATCTTTTGTGGGAAAAATGCTCAAAAATGTTTGTTGGTTGATTTTGACTTTCTCTATTATATTCATATCTCTAAATTGACAGACATTCAGTATAGTTTGCCTACAATTATGCCATAGCTTGATTTTCCAACCCTAGAGAAACGGATATGATAAGATCAAAGTCGTTTGAATATACACCAAACCTTAACTCGGCAAAATTGGGGATTAGGGCACAACTACCAAAACAGCTGCGAAAAGTCAGAAAACCACTTCATCCTGCAACGAAGGAGAAAAGTGCTTAAACACACGTTAGATTTGTTGGTGAGAAGTTGTTCATAGATGAAGAAGAATATATCCCGGAAGTGAGTTCCCCTCGGCCTTTTTAACCGGAAAGCTGGACCCTGCATTGAAAAATATTGACATTACGAATTGGAAAACTTCCCAAACCGACACTTAGTTCCAGGGCGCGCTCAGCAGCAATTTTAAGAAATAAATTCCCCCACATTTCCAGTAAAAAAAACCGCTTTTTTTTAAATATTTTTTAGAACTAGAACTAACGCATTTCTTAAATTTTTAATTTTCCTGGACACGTGTACACACACACGTTTTTTGTTGTTATAATAATGTTTGCAGATATTTTATCAAGAAACATTACTTTTTTCAGATCGAATTTAGCATTAAAAAAAGAAAAAAAGAAAACAACGTAGAATACTTTGTTTAAATCAATAATTTTTTAATACAATTTATTGTAGAAAGATTTAGCTGTTACAGGCACATGGTGATTCACAATTATTACAAAGCCGCTTAGGGTGTAAAAACAGATAATAAATCAATAGTAAAATAACATGTAGTATAAAACCGACCGGAAGTACTAGGAGGTGTTCAACCTTATAGGTTCCAATTTCATTTTCAGTTATTTTAAGAAACGAGAAAACTGCCATTAACGTATTTTCTATATAAATTACTACATAAAACACAATCATTCTTTTTCTCGCCTTGGTGTTATTCAAGTTCATGAAGCATAAAATGCTTACATAAGCAAAGAACACGTAATACAAAAAGCGTCCACAAAACCACGTCTCACTAATGGTTCCCTCAAGCGCTGGGCGTTCTTTGAATTTAATCCATAAGAACATGACGAAAAAATGTACAAATAAACATATTCCGCCGATCCATGTATAATAATTGACTAGAAATAATGCTGTACATATGAACCTCGCTGCCAATGCTGACAGAACAGAACAAAAGAAGAAGGCAAATCCTAAAAACTTGACATCTTGTTTCCCTGCTATAACTTCTCTATTGCTTCGATAATATGCTGCATACGTCCAAGCAATACTGATCCATGATGACAACAGATTTATAACTGAAAACATAAAAAATATGTATGTGCTACAAGGCGATATATGATCAAGGGATATAATAAGCATGGCAATGTAAAAAATATTATAATGATACGGTAACAAATTTTTTTTTTAAAAATAATTCTAATTAAAATAAACTGGCAAACAACCCAAAAGATTTAATTATTAAGAAATATAAATAACAATGTGTTGCATACAGATATTTTGTCACGACAATATGTTAACCTGTAAAATCGGAGTTGACTAACACTATGTCGAGGATTTATTTGACCGAACAAAAACATCACAAATCGCGATCCTTCCTTTTTTAATACAGGTAAATGTTCAAAAGGTTGTAACAAATTACTATATTTTGTAATATATCATGCGTTATGTTAAACACTAATCAACATACAGTTATTGTCTGACAATTGTTTGTATACGAACCTCTGATAAAAGTAAGTTCCAAATCATAAGCATAATATAAGTAGAGTTGTACAAACAATTGTGGCGCTGATTCCATGAAAGCGTTAATAAAGTCTAAGAAGAAACAATCCCTCTTTTCTTCCCGAGCACGCGCTTTATGCCATCTTCGTGTACTTCCGTCACGACTTATTTCTCCGTCGTTGCTCTTTGGAATAAGTTTTACTTTGTATATCTGGTGAATATAGTTGAAAGCACTGGAATAAAGGCATAATAAAGAATTACGTTACCATGGTTACGGTATAAGAATTATGTCAAACATTATCTCTTCTCCAAACCAACTAAATAATAATAATTATATCTTTATCAACACGCTGTAAAGATGCATAATCTTATTTTAAATTACTTATTCATGTAGGTGTGTTTATCTTTTAGTTACATGTTACCATATATCCTTATGCTTTCAACATTTCATATAAAAGTGGAATAAAATAATCATTGTGTATTATCATAATTATCGCGTCTTACATTAGGTGAATAATTTATAGCTGGATTTCATATGATAGTAATATAAAGAAGTGATGAGCAAACTCACCGAACCACTCGTCCTAATGTTAAACACCCCAGAATTATTCTACATGTTTGTGCCTTTCCCCTCTTTCTGTCAAGCCACACCCAGGATACATCAACGATGGCCATCAGAACATGTGGAATAACTATACAAGCCAACGTGATCCAAAACAAGTCAATGTCTCCTGTTCAAGTTTCAATAAACAAACAATGATCACAAAAAATCGAAGCAAGACACACAGGTATATTATGTTGTTTCTTTTTACACTTTTACATAATATTTATATAACTTAAGAATAAAATAAAATAAAATATACATAAACGTGTACGTTAAATCATCGTGTAATAAAAGGTTCTTTTACTTGCATTTTTGAACTATTTTGAGGTTATAGATTATAAATTTCGACATATGAACAGCCAGAAACCTGTTACTGCGCTAGTGTTTTGCAAACTTATCCCACGAACTATGGTTCATAAATGTTAACTAAGCTGGTTATCAAATGAATTGAATTTGTTCTAAAATAACACGATTTTATGCATGACTGATCTAGCTGATTTGTGTAGAGTACCAAATTATTGTGTTTTGATATTAATGCAACCAATCGACGGTAATCTTAAAAAAATAAAATGTATTTTTACCATTTTCCTTGTAGCTGACAGCAAGACGAATATCCGATCCAATGTCCCAGAAATAAACTATTAGTGACACAATAGGAAATATTAATGCCTTTGTAACATTCCAACAAGTACAGTTGCAACATGGTGCCGGCTTTGTCGCCTTTGGGGAATCACAATCGTCACGTGTTTCCGAGGCAGTTTGTTCAGTTGATAGCTTTCTAGTTTTGTCGTCAATAAGTATAGGCATCTCTATAAGCTCTTGTGAACTTTTGTTGTTACCTGTGTAACTTTCATCCTGCCCTGTATGGTTTAACTCTGAAGATCCAGCGATATCTTCTTCATTGCCTTCAACATAAAATGAAACATCGTTGCCTTGAGAAGTATTCTGTTCAGATACAGGGTCATTATTTAAATTATCACTTGAAGGTGGCTGCGTGTAGAACGTTGAAGAGCTGTGCGCAATAATTTGCGGTTCATCATCAAGCTCGTGTAAATGAGTACGAGAACCTTGTATACCATCTGATTGGTCACTTGGGTATAAACTACTGGATGAACTATCACCCTCATCTCCCTTGTTCATATCTATATTATCTTTATTGATCAATGGATCATTACAGTTTGATGCAGCTTCAATATTGTCATCGTCACTCAAATCTTCAGGTCTAATTGTACATTCCAATGTATCCTTGTCGCCATCTTTCTCCGTATATTTACTTTCTTTCGGTCGTTTTTCTCGCCCTGACGCATCTTTCTGACTGGGTATTCTTGAAAACAACGCCCCGTCCACATTGTCTTTCTTATTAGATTTTGATGTAGGTAGGTCAATATCACACTGTTTACTTGGGATACGTGAAAATAAAGCACCGTCTACGTAGTCTTGCTCAGTAGGTTTTACTGACGGATGGTCAAGGTCACACTGTTTACTGGGGATACGTGAGAATAAAGCCCCGTCTACGTCATCAGTCATTTTTTGATATTTTTATTGACTAAAATTGATCATGCCTATCGTTGACTATCAAAATGCTTTACATAATGATTACCATGTGACCTATAAAATATACAAAATAACAAAAGGTAAGTTTGATACGGTGAGTCAAACACCCGTCACATGTTTTCGGATAGCATTGAATCGAAAAAATAATTGCAATTTTTATTTAATAATTTAACGTGAAGGTTAAAATTCTTAGAAAGTTACATTGAAAGAAGACAAATTAATAAAACCATGAACGTTTTACTTTTACTTGAAAGCAGTTAAACTTAAATAATATAATATAATATAAATTGATATAAAAGGTATTTAATTGTACTAAGTGAATAATTTAACCCGAAAGTTGCAATGCTAAAATAATTCATACTGCAATTTGAAATACTTGAATAATTTAACCGTCAAATTGCAATACTTGAATTATTTAACCGACATATTGCAATACTTGAGTTATCTAACCCAAACATGCAATACTTGAATTATTTACCCGGCAAGTTTGCACAATACTTGAATTATTTACCCGGCAAGTTACAATAATTTAACCGGCAAATTGCAAGTTTTGAATTATTTAACCGGCAAGTTGCAAATCCTGAATTATTTCACCGGCAAGTTGCAATACCTGAATTATTTAAGAAACCAATTGCAATACTTGAATTATTTAACAGACAAATTGCAATACTTGAATTATTTACCCGGCAAGTTTGCTCAATACTTGAATTATTGAATGGGCAAATTGAAATTTTTGAATTATTTAACCGACAACTTGCAATACTTGAGTTATATAACATACCAATTGCAATACTTGAATTATGTTACCGACATATTGCAATACTTAAATTATTAAACCGGCAAGTTTGCTCAATACTTGAATTATTGAACCGGCACGTTGCAATACCTTAATTAGTTTACCAGCAAGTTGCAATACCTGAATTATTTAACAAACCAATTGCAATACTTGAATTATCTAACAGACAAATGGCAATACTTGAATTATTTACCCGGCAAGTTTGCTCAATACTTGAGTTATCTACCCGACATGTTGCAATGATTGTATTATTGGACCGTCAAATTGCAAAACTTGAATAATCTAACCGTAAAATTGCAATACTTGAATTATTTAACCGGCAAGTTACAATACTTGATTTATCTAACCGAAAATTGCAATACTTGAATTATTTGACCGACAATTTGCAATACTTGAATTATTCAACCGGCAAATTACAATACTGCAAGCTGTAACATATAATAATTTAATCTGCAAGTTGAAATACATATTATTCTTCTTGAATTTTTTTTTAATTAAATGATGTAATTTGTTGTAATACAAAATAATTCATCACTTAAATTTTTAAGCTTGTAATCTGTAATATTAAGGCTCATCATGACCCGTAAATGATTTAATCCTAAATTTTCACAAGCATTAAATGTTTGTTGCCCTGTTATAATTTCTAAAAAAAAAATGGTCAATTACCTAAACCATCTTACCGCCTATGTGGCTTTTTGGCAATTAGTACAATTATAGTGGAAAAGTATTTTGTATGGATATCAAAATACTATTTTGTTTTCAATTTGTTACCTTTATGATCAACATTTTTCACAATCTGTTTTATTTTCTTCTAGTTATAAATATTAAGCATGCTCTAAAAGCATTATTCAAAAGTTAAAAACTCATTTTTGATCTGTCTTAAGAAGGAAAAATGAATTCCTTTCTGAGTCATAATGCGCTTTTAAACAATTCAGTCTGAAATTATAAATATTTCAATATTATACCCTGTGCGTTAAAATTATGAAACATTTTTGCCTATTAGTTGAAATACTTATATAACATGATCTTTAAGATGTTATAATCAAAGTTTTAACTTGCATGTCGTTAATTAAATACATGTACGTACAGAATGAAGTTAAACCCTTGATTTGTTATGCTAAAATAATTACATCTGCAAGTACCATTACGTGATATCGTTAATATGCAAAATATGTACAGTAAATCAATACTTTACATTAATTCAAATAATGAACTTTGAAACACTCAGATCTTTATTTTAATTTGTCAATACGTTGTTTAATCATATTAGCCTACTTATTTCCGATTTTTGGTTCAATTATCTGATTGTTAATATGCAATCAATTGTGATGATTAATGTAAAATACTGATTGATTTTTACTTGCCTTAACAATAGTATATATATTATATAAAATATTTCTAAAAATAAATAGGATGAAATATACTTATCACGTTAATATTATCCAAAATTACATTGAAATGTATACACAAGACAATAATAATATCAAAATCTGCATCAAAATGTATACACGTAATGTTAACTTTAACATAATACTTAAGGAAACATTATATTTTAGGAAAAAAGGCTTTGCAAATAATATGTTTTTGGTAATATGTACTTCTGGCTAACATAAGGAAGGATAACTATGGATCTATCTTTTGACAAAAAAAATCCAGGTCTTATGAACAGTACCGTTATCATTCTGAAAACTGCTTTCTCTTAAAATTATAAATTGCTCTTTATATATTGCTGTGCTCTTGAAGTATTTGGTATATGTTCTTTTACTCTACATATACGTTGATGTGAACCAAAACTACATAGGTTTGCTTATATTTTATTGATATAGTTTTGATTAATATGTAACGCATGAAATCATTTTATACTCATATACTAGTTATGTATATGTCTAGGAAGGTAAGAAGTTAATGTAAGTGATGTACAAATAAAAAGAATATCAAGGGGATATACTCCTATTGTACTTCACAATCAAAGTCATTAAAGGTTATGCCCCTTACAATAGTAGTTCTCATCTGTGTAGCAATTCTACACACGAAACAGACAGAAGGTTTTACATTTTTTTTATCCATTTGCCAATAAGACATTTACGACACACATTGTTGTTGGGGAATAAATATGTTAATTAATTACAGGCCCATTACGCCTGAAAAATGCTATACTTTTTTTATATTCAAAGGCTTTTTATTTAGTGTTCTTTTACAACCCATCTGTCATAAAGTTAGATAAGACATATTTTGCCTCTGTAACATTTTGGTAAATAAGTAAAGTATTGTATAGTTAAAGTATTGTATAGAATAGTATGACTGGCCTATAGTTAAATGTACTTTGTTTACATTTTGTTACCTTAATAACAAATCATTACACGTCCAGCGCTACTCTATTCATGTTATTAGCATCTTACATTCTCTAAATTCGTTACCAAACTTTGAAACACACGTCTACCCCTTTATAATATATGTAAATGTTAATTTCTGAGGCATAATGAGTCATTAGTTTATACCTAGAATATTATATCAGAATGTCAAGTTTTTTGTCGGCATTGTCAACAGGAATTATCACAGTATAGATATGTGCTAATTTACACTACGATTCAAAACATTCATATCAACAGGCGTTTAATAAAACAAGGGATATAATGAAATGATTTTTTTTGGAAAAAAGTTTAATAACAAGAAATTCATTTATCATGTTTCTCTCTCTTTTCTTTTTTTAATTTTGGGTACCATCAACGGAAAAAATGTGACGTTCTTTCGTTTTTTTTCATTGTTTTTTGTTTTGTTTTTTGTTGTTGTTGTTCGCCACGAAAATGCAAAAAATGAGAAAAATATTAAGTAATGCAAACAACGACGTATTTTATGTGTCGTGTCTTTGCCTGATGTTGTTTTTTCCTAACACTTCTCGACTGGAGAATGCCAAAACACGAAGTTTTGCATAGTGGCGAAAATACCTCTAACTGATAATAGTTTATTTTACAGCTGCGAGCTTTCAACACTGAACTTTATCCCTCATTTTTTTTCTTCTTTTTTCATTCATTCAATTTGGTTTGTTACTGCCTTATTATTATTAGATTATTCCTATATAGGGAAGAAACCGTTTTGCTGATGTTGTAAGAACTCGTGGTTCAACCTTTTGCTACTTTTTATTTATATTATGATAATACACTGTTATAAATGAGTACAAAAAGAGAATTAAATATGTTAAAATATAAAATCAAGACTATTAGTATTCAGTTATGTTATTATATTGTGTATTTATGTGTATTTTACACATATTGAAACAATGCGAAGCCATTAATCATATTATGTTGTTTATTCTGTCCTAGATAATAAATGATTATTTTATGTTTAGAAAATCGAATTAGACAATAAATTGTGTTTATTATCTCACTACCTGGTGACCTCATTTCTGCTCTACTTTCGCTTTATTTACTTTATATTGTAGAGCATAAAGTAAACAGTCATTTTTATGACAAAAACACAGCCAAATTTGTGTCAACTATGCAAACAGTTTAAACATTCTTAACCGACATATTTACATTACTATCAGCATAATTGTTGGTGTAAACAACATATAGACAATAAGACATGGAAAGTTGACTGTATGTTAACATTATCGTCTGCTTCAGGTGAACGAGTCATACAACATGAATATTAACTTAATTATTTTATACTAAACAACATGTTTGTAATCTTTAGATTAAAAATAAAACGAATACTTCGACATTTAACAACATAAAAATGCCCCACTTTATCCTAAAGTTTAAACACGACATTTTAAAAACGACTATCTCGTGTGATACTAACACACAACTGTTTCCTGTATCATTTTAAAATTTAATGTAGCCAGGTACCAGTTCCGTTGTAAATATTTTAGACCGTGAAACACAACAATTTCTAATTTTAACCACCTGGTATTTTTCTATATCTAAACAGTCTAAAATAAAAACATTATTTAAAATATCAATGTTAACCGTGTTATTTGGTCGGTGTTTATTATAATCAAATTTGTACATGTATATGAATATGTAAAACAGTATTTACAAAGCGTGAGGACTAATATTAAAGCATGCAACTATCGTTGGTATGCATATATCACGGCGACACTGTATGATGACTTGCGGGTCTAACAAATAAATGAGAAAATTAATCATACAGATTAAAAGGGGAATTGTGTTTAAAATAAAACATTACTTAAATAGAGGATATTGAATGACGTGTTAGTTCAATACTAAATTATTGCACGAGTTGAAAAAATTATATTATGCGAGCCTCTGGGGAGCATAATATTATTTTATTCAACGAGTGCAATAAATTTAGTAATGAACTTACAATATTTTATTTATTTACATACAAAATAGAGACCGTTTAAAGTGAAATAAGAGTCTATTTTTCATTAATGCGCCTATAGTATAACGCTAACATTTAGCGCGTCTTTACACTATGTTTGTATAACGCTTATGACGTCACGTCAAAATATATGCACGGCCGTGCAATACCATATTTACGGAGTCGCAAAATCGGCACGGGGTGTGTGATAAGGTATTTTATCACATAATCGAGGCGCCAGGAGTGTAATGAAAGCCATTTAATTTATATAAAACATAACACACTAATGTAATAACACTTTGACGTGACGTCATTTGCGCTATATAGAAACATAGCGTTTAAAAAACGCGCTAATGTTTAGCGTTACACTATAGGCCCGTTCGTTGAAAAGATACTAATTTTAACAGTTTACTGTTCTTATTTTATATATGTGATAAATAGAATATTATTTTCGTGTAGATTCAATTCTTAATTTATTGAACTCGTTGAATAAAACATTATTATGCTCAACTCAGTAATGTAAATATTATTTATTATGAATTTTCAAAAAATATCACAGTACTTTCTTAGACGTTTCCCATATTTCTATCTTATTAAAACGAAAATTTATGTTTTTCTTTATTATGAACCGGGATATATATATATATATCTCAAAGTTGAGCATCGGTAAAATATATACACATGTATGTGAAATTCCGCGGATCCAGATGTGAACTGTATCACCGTATATGAAAGAGAAAATAGGTTAATCTGGTTATTTTTTTAACTATTTAAACATGTATGTAAAGTTCAAAGATTTTTTGAAGAAAGAATATTTCGACGAAGACTGCACGAAATCCGAAACAAATTGGGTAAAATATAGAGAAAAAGTCAGGAGAGTTAAATTATATTTCGATGTTTTTCTAAAAACCTTTGGAATATTAAAAAATATTTGAAAAGTTGAAAACTCTATACCCTGTGATTGACCTATTTTGTTCATTGAAATCATAATTCGTGAAGATGAATTCATGAATTCGAAATAGTGAATCATGAAGTTGAAATAGTGAATTCATGAAGTTGAAATAGTGAACTCATGGAGTTAAAATCGTGAATTCATGAAGTTGAAATCATGAATTCTTGAATTCCGCGTGTTCACAAGGTTAAAATTGTGAATTCACGAAGATGTAATCCGGAATTCATGCATGAAGTTGAAATGTCCCCACCGGGCTTTCGTAAAATAAGGTTATTCTACTGTGTTGTTAGCATTTCTATCACTCACCTTGAAAAACCACACTAGAAGAGACCGCTAGCCTGGTCTATTATTTTTGTATTAGTGAAAATAAATTCCGTATCGTTTAGAACTTAATAGTTTTAAACTAATATATAAGTATCATCTTCGTTTTTATTGGGCTTTAATACTTTTTATTTACTTATGTATGTTAATTTATCCATCATATAATGATTTTACTTACATTATTACAACATTTATAATGAGAAACACTTTAGATTAAATTTCCTTATCAAACCAGTAAGACAAATACACTAGTTGCATGAATAAGACAGGAAGTACTTAAGACAGCATCCGTTTGTCGCTTTCTTGAATGAAAACAAAAATTATATAAAAACAAGTAGGGGTAAAATTTAGATAAACAATTAAAGTAAAAGAATTTGACCCCCCCCCCCGAATAAAAAATGACTACTTCTGTAACAGTAAAATATAGTAAATTCTCAAGAATAAATTGCATAGAAATTAGGAAAAAGGAAAAAAATGTCTAATTTTATTCCTAATATAAAATGAAATGCACTTTTCTGTAATAAACAATCATTTTTTCTATTAAAATTTTACATTCCTAGTCACTGATTCATGTGACTTGACCTTTTTTGAGTTAATAATAATCAGCCCCCAAACAATTTATACTAAGCACATTGTTTTGTTTAAGTTAAGGACAAATACAAATTAGTTGCATTAGTCAATCATATACTTGCTGTAATTCAAGGATTTTTTACCACACAAGGCCTTTTCCAAATTAATTGCTAGCCCTTCTTTACATAATTGCGTTGGAGTAGGAGTTTTGTGCAATGTGTAGGCCTCATATTGTTCCAAGTTGATAAAACGTAAAGAAAATGAATTGCATTATTACGTACTCGAATGTGCGAGATATAAGGCGCTACTATTGTCTATGATGTTTTTCACATATCACCACATGGCGTTTACTGGATGTTGAAGACCCCCGGTGTTACTTGATCATGTCTGAACCTTGGGCAAAATTTCCTCAAATACCTCTCACTGTGTAAGATATGTAGGTTTTATGTAATGATTTATGTTAGAAACAGTATGCTTGTTGTGACCTCATAGTTTAATATCGGTTACTTATACAATTTCCATCCGGTAGAAACATGTACTTAGCTTGTCATTATCAGGTAAGGACAGACATTTTAGATAATTTTAAAAGCTAGTCAATAATCATTCACTCATATCAGCAGATATGAAATACATGAGTGAAACACAAACATAAATTAATATTTAATGTTTTCTTTTCTACGTTTTAATGAATAAGTTGTAATTATGGCCTTCTTCTATAAAGTAATACGAGAACTTTTATTTTATAAAATTTTTTTTACACAAACATATGCATTTCTTATATTTTAACAGCTTTTTTAAATTTATCAGGGGTTATAACCTTATTTTTGTTTTATGAAAAAATTTTATATTCTATTTATATACCCAACGGGTCTCTCGCTGGATATTTTTTGGGAAGACCCCCCCCAGTGGCCATATTTTCATGTTCTGGTCCCTGCCGTTTAATTTCAAAACACCCCGGGTTTCTCAAAAAAGCTCCCCAGCCAGGACTTGTTGTTAACGTTGAGGCTTTTCACCGTTTTAATAGGATTTTTTTAACGAAACTTTCTTTTTCTCTACGTTTTATGGTAAAAATCAAAGGGTTACCAATAATTCAAAGTTTTATCAGAGGTTTTCCCCACTTTTTAATAAAAGCCTAAAATTACTGATGGGGGGCTATGAGGTTTCAACTTATAGTGCTTTTTTTTTTTGCTTAAAATATGCTCCCAAAAAATTAAAAATATCACATGCGCTATTTATCCTTACTGTTGTGTTCAACCATTCATATATATGGTTAATTGTGGTTGACTATTCATTTGTTAATATTCCAGAACTTTCATTGAGGTCTACATTCGGGACTGTTAATCATACAAATTTTGAAAAAAAAACCTAAACTGTCAATAATAAATGACATACCAGCAAGTATGACGACTGTTCATTATCAGATAACAATAACATTTTACAACTGACGGTTCCTTATCAAAATCACAGGAACTTGAAATTCTATCAAATAACCAATATTAATTATAATATCCAAATATACCCCCTATATACTATAAAAAAACACAAACACAGGAACTTGAAATTCTATCAAATAACCATATTAATTATAATATCCAAATATACCCCCTATTATACTTATAAAAAATTTTATAGTATATAGGGGGGTATATTTGGATATTATAATTAATATTGATTATTTGATAGAATTTTCAAGTTTCCTGTGTCAAAAATATTCTAGGACTGTTCATCATAAAATACTTTATGTCATTTTAATATTATTGAATGATAATAACAACTGCAAGTGATGCAAACATTTTTATTGAACATAAAAATTATACACGTTTAGATGTACCATAATTGAGAATCAATAAGATACTGTCTTGTGATGAATATTAATATTCATGCTCTACGGACAGAAGGTTGTATTCTCCAGAAGCAAATCTCGAATAAAATCACGTTTCAGAAAATTATTCCCATTTCATTACTGACGGCGTCGGATAATATTAAAGCTAAATATTTCTGAAAAAATACATATCTGCAAAGCTTATTCAAACTGAATCAACCTAAGTGAAAATTTGATCAGGAAGTTATATCTTCTTTTTTTACCCCGCCAACACATCAACCAACT